GAATATATTAGGAGCAAGTTCTTCAATTCGATATAGCTTCTGTGAAAAAGTAACAAAACAAATTCAGATTAGGTTTGCACGATATAGACATGGTTTACAGTGTAAAAGGCACCAAACAAAATAATGTGATACGCGTGAAAATAAAGTCTGCGCCACTTGGATGTTATCTTCTCAAATGTTGTCCTTGGTATTAAACAAATCACTCCTCACGTAACGATAATAGTCTGTGATTGACTTATACAACGCAGGGGACATGTAAATCTTCTTCAAACTCTTCATCCAACTTTGCCTGGTTACTCATCAACCGCAACCAGAGTTTAGTAGCGTAACCAGTCCGAGAAGGTTATCTGAAGTTCAATCTCAACTTTCTCTCCACTCCTCGCGACCTCTGGATGAGAGGGCCCCGGGGACGGACGGAAACATGCGGTGCACGTACGTTAACGTCTCCCTGGTCTGTTTACGGCCGTTATTCATACCTATAACTCTCTAATTGAACTGTTCCCTCTGACATCAATAAATCTATCCGCGCAATGGCAGAGTCCTTACTCGTTTTGTGCTCTACAGAATTTTTTAGATTCACTTTTTTTAAGGGGCGATGACATTTTCTACTTGTTGACGGAATATTAAACTGATTTGTGCTTTGAGTGCCATGTTTATGGCCAACTGGCTACATTTCCCCCCAGTTTAGTTACCCGTGGGACTCGTCAGATATTGATATCGTTGTACCTATCAACCAGTTGTAATTAAGTGATTATCTGTATAAGTACGTGTACCTAAAATGGCTATTATTGGAGTAACCTATTGGCTTGTGTCCAGGTAAACCGCAAACGAGTAACGCAGTCGGGATTCCAGACCGAGCGCTCTGACTACAATCATGCGAATTACGGTGAGAGTATCGAAATTTTCCGATGTTGGTGGGACGTTTCGCATTTGTTGTTTAAATCAACTTTTAGTGACAAGATCGCCTGCACGTGGAACAGGTTTTGTTTTACTATAGGGGTATCCCACCCATGGTGCATCGCTATCGCCAAAATAGCCTGGGTTACTCCTCCCTTCCCTTCTCAAATCTTCCTCAAAACCGGAAATGGTAAAAACTGAAACCTAGTTTTGTTTGTCTGCTTCAGCTTTTATCCCCCATGGGCGCATTTGGGGGAATCATGCCAATTTTTAGAAACAAAATACAAGAAATGTTTGTCTTCGTGTGGGTCTCAGTCGCTCTGTCGAGACCAAAATAAATGACCTTGGCGTCTTTTTCAACAAATCATGAACAACAATGTTAGCGTGCAAGAATTTGGAATACTCGAGTCGGTATATAAAAATACTCCAGTGTATGGGACCCATACATTTATCGATGAAAGAGTAAAGGAAATTGTACCCAACTGGGGTATGTTCGATACTGGTCTTTAGTCGGTGGTTACAATGATGTGCGGCTATTGTTAGGAAAGAATGTAGTATCCAGACGCCACTTCAGCGGGTGTGTACAAAGTCTATCAAGAACATTTTCTAAAAATGGAGAAAATATTTGAAATGTTTCTTAGTCCAAGATTCATTTCTCTTCAACATTTTTCAATGACTGACTCTTATTGTGATGATATGCTAAAGGGAATGTACAACATTTGCTTTTGCTGCAATTTTCAGAAATAAATGGATTTGGAGGATTAGTATGTTATTGCAAATATTGTTACACTGACTTGTTTCACGTTTTGGGTTCGTATATGCTGGAAAAACCAAGAAAACCAATCATATTCTTGTAGTCTGGTTCCCTGACCCCTTTTAAGATGAAACGGAGCAATTTATAGACTTTGGGGAATTGTAAGATCATAGAATCAGTCTAGCAGGCTTTTAGTCTTCACAGGTGTGTAATCAATTGCAAAGAAAATGCAGACAAACTCAATATGAAAAATTAGGAGCACTTTTTGGAAAAAAAACAACCAGTTTTCTCCAACGCTGGTCGGCCGACCAGCGTTGGAAAAATACAGTTTTTCTTGAAAATGCCAGCATACCAGGAGCCACAACTTTACAGGATGCTTGAGACTGTCATTCCCTTACAATCCAGTAAGATATGTCGTGATAATTTGATCATTTCGTTTTTTGATGTTTGCAAATGTTGTATCTTCCCTTTAAGAAAAAAGTGGCGTTAGGTTGCAACATTCATTCCTATTGTAATTTCACGATGTGAAAATGAATCGCGTCAACGCAGCTTGTGGAATATTGTCCAATTAAATTCGGTATCCATAATTAAATGATGTACAAATGGACGCGGAACGCGCAAAATCCGTGAGAAAAACAAAACTTAACGTTCACAATTCCATATAGGTTCGTCTAAGGGGCGTGGCTACATTGAGTGCGTTCGATTACTCCCCCGGCTTACTCGCGCCTGGCTCCTTGCGTAATGACAGACATTTGCAGTGGAGCTAAATAAACGAACGGTTTCGGGAAAAGTTTCGTGCAAGAGCTGGAAACATGGGCGTCGCCATGATTTTTTTCTTGAGAGGGGAAAAACACATCTTCCCCCCAAAAATCTTGTTTTTCTCAACATATTCTCGATTTATCAGTTTTAGAGGGGGGTAGGGACATTTTCCCCCACCCATTAAATTAACACCAATTTTCTTTTCTTTTTTTCTCTCTTTTTTTTTCTCTCCTTTTTTTTGCTTTTCAGGGGGGGGGGGTGTTGCAACCTGACGCCACTTTTTTTCTTCATATATCATCTCAATGAAGGTCATTCATTGCAAAAATGATGATAAGACATGAATCTGGGACTGAGAAATATTTCAAATTTTGTTAGGAAAAACATTTCTTGACTCTCCATAGACTTTGTACACAATTGCGGAAGTGGCGTCAGGTTGCAACATTTTTTCCCAGGCTGCATCCGAATCAATTAACTGCCTAGAGCACGTCCACGCCCAGTGAAAATACGCGGGGACGCTCTGACAATAATTCGTAGCCGTAGCTCCGTGCATAGAGCTACATAGGGTTTGTAGCTCTATGCTCCGTGGAAGCCCGTTTCGGGCACGGCCTGAGATGAGGCGCCCGCCGGACGTTGCATGGCCTTATGAGATACTTACCCAAGTAACCGGCTCGGCAAGTCGGTTACTTGGGCCAGGATCCGTGCTTGGGCCAGGCTCGAGTAAGCGCGAGAAGTCACGTGAGAGGTAAATCGAACGCACTGAAACGGCGATAGGTCAATTGACTGATTGACTGACTGTCACTTGCGAGCCGGGCAGTGCTATTTTATAGGATTACCCCGTAATGCCAATGAATGGGCGAAATTCGGCCCATTGTGTATGCCTGACATGACTTCCATTGAATAGCCATGCTGAATCAATGGAATAGAATTGTGTGGGCACTTGGGGATCGGCTTTAGTCCGACTATGCTATATTTCTGCCAATAACTGACTCATATGCCAGCGGAGAAGTGCAATCGTATAGGATTACCCAATAACATCAACGAATGGGCTCAATCTGGAGCATTCCGCGGGCAGAATGCAGTATCCCGACACCACTTCTTTGGTTGTGTACAAAGTCTATGGAGAGTTGAGTGTATTTTCTAATAAAATGGAAATTTTCTCAGTCTTTTCAACATTTTTGCAATGGCTGACCTTCACTGAGATAAAATATGATGAAAAAGTGGTGTAAGGTTGCAACATTCTTTCCCCATTATGTACACAGACGTCCAGTGCATAGCCATTCTGAAACGATTAGATACAGTGTTGTGGGCTGTGATCATTTTTATAGGACTGCCTTATTTATCGTGAAGACTTAAGACTTGTGAGGTTACGAGAAGACATCTTTCCTCCAAACTGGCAGTACATGACCACGACTTGGCCCCGATCTCTCCCATCAATCAACCAAGTAAAATATGACTCATTTTACTTCAACGTATGAATGGCAACGATATAAATCTCTTACCCTGGAAAAACCCGCGAGATGAATGTCAGAGCCGAGTCAACAAACATTAATTTCCAGTCAACTCTTCCGCGGGTGCATGTATCATTCAATTAACTTTAATTCGGTTAAGACGAGGCGCTTTCCAAACTTCTGGATTATATTTGAGACCACTTACCGCGCAGAATTAGCTTGAGATAGAGAAAATTGAATTATCGTTTCGTCTCCCTAAACGCCGATAGCCATCATGCTTTCTCAAGCCCTATACAATTTGGGCGTCATATTTGAGAAATCTCTTACACAGGAATTCGCTCTTCCTGCAGTTTAATACTTCGATCTATCCGAGGAATCTTTGGCAAGCATCGAACCCATGACACCTGTAACGCAAATGCAGGTGTCTTTAAAGGGGCATTATACGGCCTGAAATCATCGAAAATTTTATGTTTTGGATTGTTTACTTATCCTTTTTTCCCAAGGTCTGGTTGAATGGAAACTAACCCATACCGTTCCCGAGAAAAGACGAAAAAATCCCGGTTGTTTACATCGGAAGCCACAGACATTTTGCGGCATATCATACATACGTATTTCAAGTCGCGTCTATTCAATGCAACGTACACGTTGTGTGTGTTGCACACACTAACAATACACAAATATTGTTTCTAACATGTTCGCAGAATACGAACCACTGTGCGGCTGGTTCACAACTAGCACTAACAGCTCGATTTTTTGGGCCAAATATAATTGCGACCCCCAAAATTCGTTCTCGCACGACTCTCGCAAGAATAACACAAATTTTTTTTTAAAAGACGGTTGTGTGGATGCTAATACATTTTGTATTATACTTTTAAATGTCCTATTTAATGTCATTTCGTTTAAAATGCTTTTTGTTGCCCGATTGTGTGCATTTTTTTTCAACGAGGCCTGGACTAAAAGGTTCTTTTTATGACCCAGGGTTCGGAGGTTTTTTTATGCGATAATTATATTAAGTACAGTACTTACATTCAGCCAAAGCCAATTGAACTACTATTAATTTTAATAATCCATTTTGTAACCCCAGAATTTTCAATGCGTTGTAACAGTTAACCAAGCCAAAGGATCAGGAAGACGTACACAAAATAAGTGGCGAAAAGCAAACAGTTTCTTTTTTTTAATTTATTACAATTTATTAACTATAACATCTAACTTTTTCTTTTTCAAATAATATATAAGCAAAATAAGGCAAAACGATATACATAATATACAGCACAACATGACACAATACACAAAACTACTTATTAAATTTTAACGAAATTAATTATGGCAAAACACAACAAATCGCTCGATAATGACGTGATGGTTACAATTTCCGCTCACTAATGTCAAATAGATGGTCGATAAAATTGTTTTGTTACAAATAAATGAACCTAATAAATAACAAAAATATCAGTGCGATTATCTCGTCCGGATCTTTGCAGGTATAACAATTATTTGCCGGTACCAATAGGAAGGAAGTCGTCACTCCAAAATAACCATACACCCACACATGAAAAACCTCGGAACATCTGCCTAAAATACTCGTAAAGTTTGTTGAAAAAATGCAGGGTAGATGGTACATTTAGGATCATCATTTGTTTTGAGAGAAGTCTCCATTGTAAAAGGTCAATTTGAGGTCAACTTGGGATTTGAAGTAATCTGTGCCATGATGTCTGGTTCGGTGTCTGGTTAGCCGCCAAATCCGTAGAGCGTCCGGCCTTGACGCTTGAGGGCGTACACCACGTCCATGGCCGTCACGGTTTTCCGCTTGGCGTGTTCACAATACGTCACAGCATCACGGATCACGTTCTCCAGAAACACCTGGGAATTCAAAAGCCGACATTTTATTCAAATGAGACTAGGCAATGGGCGTAAACCACATTCGGTGCAAGCAGCTATGCCATTATTACCGAAAATACACCGGCCGAAGACAGAGTGGGAAAAAAAAATGTTGCAACCTGACGCCACTTCAGCGGTTGTGTACAAAGTCTATGGAGAGTCAAGAACATTTTCTTGACTCCAAAATTGGAAACGTTTCTCAGTCCTAGATTCATAACTTATTTTTGCAATGACTGACCTCCATCGAATGATAAAAGTGGCGTCTTGTTGCAACATTCTTTCCGACAAAAAAAAGAAAAGAAAACCAGTGTGACAACCCGTTACAATTGACCTATTGCCGGCTGCGAGTTAGCCACGCCCCTTAAGACAACCCTATGGACTTTTTGTACGTTAAGTTTTGTTTGTCTCAGATTTTGCGCGTCCCGCGTCCATTTGTATAATGTAATTGGACAATATTTCACAAGCTGTGTTGACGTGATTCTACAACGATAGGTCAATTAAAGCTCTGGAAATTTCTTGCCTGGGAAAAAATACTTTGCAAAAACACCTTTTCTATGTAACCCTAAATGTTTTTGGCACCATGTGTCACTAAAATCTCTATCATTTGGTGCTACAGTGAACAGAGTTGAAAATTGGATAGGCCTACAAAAAAAACTGTTTTTGGCTCTTTTTGGCAGTGGTTCAAAGTCTTATTTTCCAACTTGCCTTGAGCACACCCCGTGTTTCCTCGTAGATTAGACCGGAGATTCGCTTGACTCCACCTCGACGGGCAAGCCTTCGGATTGCTGGCTTGGTGATCCCTTGAATGTTGTCTCGGAGGACCTTTCGATGTCTCTTGGCTCCTCCCTTGCCTAGACCCTTTCCTCCTTTGCCTCGACCAGACATTTTCTTGAAGTCTCGTCTGCTAAGGACTCAAATGCAGCTAGGCACGACAACAGTTGAGGGCACCCTACGTCTTTCGAGCGAGTTTTTAAAAATGAAATGGCCTTCGATTCGAGCGCGCTTTGTTATTATTCCTGTATTGCGGACGTGTTGGAAAATACCACCAATGAGGCGTTGTCAACGGTCGTTTTATTGTGAACGCGGAGAGGAAGTGATTTGGCGCGCTTTTTAGGATCCTGTCCGTTTGCCAGTTGACTGCAGTTTGAAATAGACAAGGATCTAACGGGCAATTCATTGGCAAAAATTTGAACAAAATTGGCTCCAAAATGATTGTTCAAGGGTTGGAAGTATAGACCACTGATCTCTCCATGTCAAAATCTGAATAGCCCAAGAACAATAGATTTGTAAGGAAAGATAACTAATTGAATCAACATCGACACTTTTTCTTAACAAACTATTATGTTTTCAATGATAGCAACAAAGTATAATTGTAGAATTAATGTACATACACTTTCTGTTTAGAAAAGAAAGTTTCGTGTACATAATAAAGACGACACTGTTTTAATTATTTTGAGCAATGCGAGTGGTTGACTGGTTCCCACCCCTCATCGAAACGGAGCAGTGGCGTAATCTGTGCCAGCGAGTGGGAGTGGGGGATGGGGGAAGACCAAAATCCTAAAATTGCCCTGCCGTGGAAATTCGGAAAGCGGTGAGGGGGGGGGGGGGGGGCCTGGACACCACATTATACTAGGGGCGCTTTTCATGATAAAGATGCATATCAATATACTCGCGCTTACATTTTTAAAGCTTTTGTACTTTGTTTCTCCACTTTCCAGTGCTATTAAATACATTTTAGTTGTTCGGACGTTAGGCAAATACATCAAAATCCGCATTTTTTTCTCAGCACAAAAAGTGTGTGTGTGTGTGTGTCTGGGGGGGGGGGGGGGGGGATGATGCAATAGCCCATCTCCCGGTCAAAAATTGGGGGAGGGGGGGGGGCCTATGTACCCCCGGGGGGGGAAGTACGCCCCTGGATCGGAGGAATTGGAAACCGGTAGCTTCACTTTTTTGTACACCTTGGATCGAAGGGCATGGTCTTTGTTCTTCCGTGATGCGCAGTAGACACTTTGTACCCTTATTTAAATAGCAAAAGTACACTCAGAGAGGGCGCACTGTGCAAGGGGTCTTTGGCTGGCATTTGCAATTATTTATCAGAAAGGCGGTATATTTGCACTATTTTTTTTTATTTGTTTGTGTTTGGTGGGGGGGGGGGGAGGACGAGCTATTTTCCATGTTCCAATCTTGAAATCAAGTTATTGCGGAAGGTTAGATACATTTAATTATATCTAAAAAAATAATTTGATATTCTATGTTTTACAGTTTGTCGCCCAGTTCTCTAAGTGCTAAGGGGAGCAGAACTTGACGAGTACCCCCCCCCCCGCGCTTGTTTCCCCTTGTTCCTCCAAGCACAGAATTTGAAGAAGGCTAAAAATTGGCTTTTTGTTTTCAAAAACCTATTGAGTTGCAACTCCTGGCAATGAAACCCCTTTAGATCCGCCTGCAAAAAGAGGAATTTTAAATTGGCACTGAAGCTGAGGGGCTCAGCACTGTCTTTTGTTGAGATGATAAAAAGGTCCCCAATTCACAAAATGGCTTAGCACTGGGATTCATCTATTGGACTCCTATATGCGTCACAGTTAATTCTTTACACTCTCAAAGCGGATCAAACATTCAAATTAACGTATTGTCCAGTCATAGCCATAAACGCAAGCACATGTGATGCACAGAATCAGTTCAGACACTGACGGGTATTTTGTTTTTCACGCAAACGTTACATAACCACAACAGAGGCGACTATAGACATCGCTGATAGAAAAGCGCCTCCTGTGTGATTTGCTGACTCAATGTCGCGCTGCATATGGCGGGAATTTCAAATGCTTTTATTCATTTGAAACAAACATGTGTTACGATCGTTTGCAGTATTGGTAGTATGTCGCACAGTCTATTTTCGTCAAAGGGTATAACATAAAAACGGACTTCAACCAATGGATTCTGATATTGGATCTATTCCTTTTTTGATGAAAACACCATCGTATCATATTGATGCAGTTTACAGCTGCTCTGCGAATTCTTAATTTTTTTCATTATTAACTTTGACAAGATGTAAATTTGAATTCATGTTCTTTTTATCCCTAGCCGGAAAATGGCGCCGACTCTAGCCTATATAAACGGCAGCGTCGCTACGCCTCGCTTACTGTGGACTCTTTCATTTTGGTCAGCCTTCCGTTTGAGCACGGCAGAAACTCGATTCAAACTCGACTGCGTGAGGAAAAGACGTTTGTTGCGCTGTAAATAGTTGGCTGCAATTTCAGTTGTCTTAAGAAAGTTTTGAATTCATCATGTCTGGACGCGGGAAAGTCGGCAAGAAAAGTAAGGCTGTGTCGCGAAGCTCAAGGGCAGGTCTTCAGTTTCCCGTCGCTCGTATTCACAGGTTTCTCAGGAAAGGCAAGTTGAAATACATCCATTTATTAATGTTTCGTCACCGACACCACGAAGTAACACCCATCTACATACCAGTAAAAACTAGCAATCGGAGAAAACGGCAACTAAAGTTGAACGCCTTCTAAAACAACACTTTGCGTCAAAACGACAGAGTATTTTCAGTTGGGTTTCTCGTTGTGGACACTTGATGAATTGAATTTATTAAATCTGCTGTTTTTCACCCGTTTGTGTATTAAATAAACAAGAAATAAGAGAAAAAAGATGAGTGTTAGTTCGTGAAACCGAAAAGGCTGCGAAATTGTAAATTTTCGTTTTCACGAAGTAACACTCTTCAATGTATTCAACACGAGGAAAGTGCAACTTCAGGTCAGCGCGCGCGCAGTCATACAACTTGTTACAAGAAGAGTGTTACTTCGTGAAAACGTTTTTGCTCACTTTAATATGAGCAGAGTGCGCGCCATGCATTTCAATGGTAAATGGAACTTGAGTGTTACTTCGTGAAAACGAAAATTGTCACTTTTGCGCAAAAGTTGCCATGGATACTTAGCGTAATTATTAAAGTAAAGCTCTTGAAGCTTTGAAACTTCGTGCAATGGTAGGCCTTGATGAATAATGTTTAAAATCCAAAAAACTGAAAATCGAAAAAAAATATGGTTTAACACGGTAGAGTGTTACTTCGTGGTGTCGGTGTCGGTGACGGTTTGTTGTGCAGTTTTCCTCCCTGTCAACTTACACTTGAATATTCAATATGAAATACTTGTTTTTTTTGTTTTTGGCGAATGTCGGAATGTTTGAGGCACATTGAGAAAATGTGACGACACAACATATTTCAAAATTCCTTGGTTTGACGCAATGAATTTACTCATAATCGTGAATTTTACTTTATTGTTTTTGATCAATTTGCATATTGTCAGTCCCAGCGTTATGAAAGGGAGTAATGTCCGTGACAGGGCCAATTGACCATGAAATATAAATAATTCAGAGAAATTAGCCAAAACTCGAAGTCTGTACTCTCTTTGACCATTACGAGATGATGGATGTACAAGATCGGAAAGAGGAAAGATTCCCATATCTGGCCATCACTAATTTTCCCCTGTGACTATCAGACATCAGAAAGTGATTTGTCCTAAAAAGTCAAATTTAGCAGGGAAAATATTGAAGTTTTTACTGATAAAACACTTATTTTCAGACCAGTCTCATAGGGTTTGTGCACAGGGTGACAAGTGATGGCCAGATATGAAAATCTTTCCGAAAAATACATTTTCCAGGTATATTTACTGAGCTCTAAAAAGCTCTATCATGGACATTACATAATTGGAACTGCCCACAAATATTTATTAGCCAGCAACTTATCAACAAACTCTGCAGTAACTTTCAACTCGATTTGTTCTATTTCCTTTAGGTAAATACGCACAACGCATCGGCTCCGGTGCAGCGGTGTACATGGCCGCCATCTTGGAGTATCTGACGGCTGAGATCCTGGAGTTGGCTGGCAACGCAGCACGGGACAATAAGAAGGCTCGCATCATCCCTCGCCATGTCCAATTGGCTATCCGTAACGACGAGGAGTTGAACAAGCTGCTTAGCCACGTGACCATTGCCCAGGTAAGGAGATTATTTCTTACGATTGCTCACAATCCATGCAGCCCCAAGACAAATTGGCATATTGAAATGGAAAATAATGTATAATGTCCAGACGACACTTGGTTGTGCACAGTCTATGGAGAGTAGAGTGCATTAAAGATTAACACAATTGGAAATGTTTCTCAGTCCCAGATTCATGTCCGTTCAAAACTTTTGCAATGACTGACCTTCATTGACATGTGATGACAGAAAGTGGCGTCGGGATGTAACATTCTTTCCAAAATGTGAACACAGATTCTGTTCAAATCTGAGCGTTACTTTTTTTTTAGATTGCACACGCATAGAAAACGACCACTTGTAAAATTTAATTGACTTGCTTCAACGACTTAAGAAATTAAAACTCAATAGTGTTTAAATTGTTCTTCCCTTTCGGTTTTCAAATTTCCAATCCAATCAAGAGAATTTCAAAATTGCTATGTTTATAAAATTGCTTATTTTCTAAAACGGAAAGAAAGTTATTTACTTTTAAAGGGCATCGAATTAAAAATTCGTCCATTATTAAAGAATAATTATTTTGATAAAATTTGAATTATTTGCAGCAAGACAAAAATACAGGCATCAACATAAAATTAATTTTTTTGGGAAAGAATGTTGCAACCCGACACCGATTTTTTTTTCTTCACATGTCATCTCGATGCATGTCAGTCATTGCAAAAATAAGACATGAATCTGGGACTGAGAAACGTTTCCAATTTTGTTAGGAAATACTTAAAAATGTCATTGACCCTCTAAAGACTTTGTGCACAACCGCTGAAGTGGCGTCAGGTTGCAACATTATTTCCCATTTTTGAGAGGGTTGAAAACATTCAAGGAGGAATTTCTCTTCGTAAAAATTACGAGGAAATTCAAGGGAATTTGTTGAAGATCACGTGAGAGCATTTACTAAGACAAGACCAGACCAGACCAGAGCAGTTAATGATTGTTTTTATTTGTATTCCTTTCCTTTAGGGTGGTGTGATGCCCAATATCCAGGCCGTACTGCTTCCCAAGAAGACCGGCAAGAACAAAGGCCCACCCAGTCAGAGCGTAGAATTCTGAGAGGAAAATCTTCAGCACCAGACTAAAATCTAGAACTCAATCAATGAACTTTTAAGGGTCTTGAAATCAAATTGCATTTCGGATGTTTTCGAGCTTCAAAGTCATTTTCGACGTATTTCCATGCGCGATTAATGAAAAACTCGGGTTCATTTTGAACCACAAATCTGGAATTAGCTGCACCTATTTTAGACAACACATAAATGAAGAAGAAAAATCGAGAAAATTGAAAGAAAAACGTCTACTATATCTGCTTTTTACCACGAAATCATGTCCACAGCCTTATTTAATTCCACAAAACGGCATTACCATTTTGAAAACCATTTGTAATTGTATTTAATGTTCATCTTTATTTAAGACAGTTTTATCAGTATATATAAGTGTTAAATGCCTTCCCCGATGTTGAATGTAAATTTTTAATGTGCAAATAAATTAATTGTAAATTAGCTCCCGCATGTTTTTGTGTTCATTTATTCTCCAATCCATGAACAATTCTAGGACCTGCTCCCACGAATCGCGGACGAAGTTGTTTTGAAAAGGAGCCTGTGAAATGATTTTGGGTTGGGACCGACTGTTTTTGAGATTTTTCTAAATCGGTAACTATACATTTACAACCTCGCAAAATATGAATATCAGATAATCATCAAGCAGAAGTGTGTTTTGGGGTAGATTTATTGAAAGAGAAAAAAATGTTCAGAAATGTATACAATTGTCGTAATTGGGTTGTCGGGCTTTTATCACTTGATCCATCTTCCAGGGGTAATAGGGTCACGGTACCTTCAAAATCCTATCATTTTGAAGCTGAAAAAAATTGGAATTCGAAATAGTTGTATAGTCCATGGACCTTCACTGCACATTGCCGGTCTGGCTTTCCGTAAAAGGGTCTGTAGGAGGGATGGGGCGCCCACTTTCCGTTACACCTGTTAACCATGGTTACTTATGACTAACAAATTACCAGAGGGGACGAGGGCGACTGGGGGCAACGGTTTCATAAAGGTGAAGGGCGGGCCGTGCCGCCCCCGCCTCCCCCCCCCCCCCCCCCCCCCCCCCCCAGTTGGCTACGCCGCTGCGTGGAAGCGGGTCGCATCATTGGCTACTTTCTCATATGCTGTACAGTTTCAGATTCGTCAAGGATAATGGTCTGTATAGAACTGGAAATAATGAGGTTTTCAGCATACAGCAACAAGATCACATCAACATAAGTAATGAATTATGATATACGTTACCGAGAATACAAGTATCGCTTGAACTGATGTGAACCGATGGTTGTTTTTACCCATTTCGCATATACATGTACCATCGCAAATATATACTTTATGCGTTTAAGATGGAGATGGTGGCAATTCTTGTGATAGGATAGTCGCGAGGAAACCTTTCGTGCATTCATTGTTACAAAATTATTGAAATGGCGAAGAACACCCTCTGCCAACAACGCATGTGGTCTATTTCTAGATCCATGAAATATTAGACGATGTTAACTTTGTTGTAATAAACAATGGGGCAACATTATTATACTTTTTAGGAGTCAAAATCACAATTGCAATTATTTTTATTGCAGATGTTTATTCATTGTGTTTCACATAAAATATGGAGCTACATTATTGCACTTTTTAGGAGTCAAAATCACAATTGCAATAATTTTCATTGCAGATGTTTAGTCATTGTGTTTCACATTCGTTCAAGAGCAGCATTTTTCCCTTTGAAACGACAAAGGATAAAGTTACTCAGTGTGGTCACCATTTTGTACAATTCCATGAGCCAACCCAACACCACCAATCACGACCGTCGTGAACCTTCCAGTTGAATTCTATAGCACGCGATTGTTAGAATCGATAGCTGGCGTCAATTGGCGTCAATAACGCGATATCAATTGATCTGACGTATTCGAAGGCGGCTCCGCAAACAACACTAATTGTTGGTCATTAAGTGCAGTATCGATACCACTTATATTGCACGGGTAATAAATAGTTGAACATTAACCCTAAACACGAGAGGGATGGGGCATGCGGTGTGTTTTTTTCTTCAATGCGAACACGAGGTTATCATAGTGACTCCTGCGTGCCCCAGTTTACCGGATCACAATCAGTTGTAGGCCCGCTTCATCCATCAACTGATCAAAAATGATCCAAATTCCCGATTGAGCTCTGAGGAGTGGTTATCATGGCGCAATTTGAAGGGCGGTACAAATTGAAATCTAGCGATAACTTTGACGAGTTTCTGACGGCATTGGGTAAGTTTGACATGGATGTGTTGTGTGTATTTTGTGGATATTTATCTTCATTATTGTAAGTATAGTGCTGCACATGTTTTTTTTTTAACTGATGATGCGACGTATTGTCTTTTGTGTTTCATCAGCTGTAGTCATGATGCATTCATCATTTTCATTTCTGGAACCAAAACCCAATCGATAGCGAAAGGATTGGTTTCTTTTTTTGGGGGGGGGGGTGGTTGAGGCGGGGGGGGGGGGACATCCGCCCCCGCCCCCCCCAAAAAAAAATCCTCAAAGGTTAAATATTTCGTTTTTGTCTTAATTTCGGCTGTTGCACTGCGCCGTTCAAAAACTAGGCCCTTTTAGTTTTGCCCTTCAAAATGATGGTCCTGCTATAAATTCATAATCAGTATTGCCCCAGGTCCACTGAATTTGTTTTCCAAACTTCTTTTTTTTGTAACTAAAATCCTGGATGTAAACTCTGAGAAGAAAATCTAACTTGTCTAAAATGGAAGTAGGTTCTGATAAGTATCCTTTGTGTTGACATCTAGAACAGTTACTGCGAGATTAGTGCCCTGTCCGTCAGGATTATCAACAGGTGACTGTATCTAATGACCAGTCAAGCTCAAATATTGACCGTGCTGTTTCTATTGACCGTACAAATTCAAATATTGACCGTTATGCAAAGTGCTATTACCGAACTTTATAACTGGCGGAATCGATAGTGGTGTGACCGGGCAAGCTAATGTCAGAAACACGGCAATAAAATGAACGAGATATTTGGGCCACTAACACTGTTGGTGACTTGATCCGAATGAGGATGGTGATTATAATATACAGTATGTCCCCCCCCCCCCAAAAAAGTCCGTCTAACAATTTTTGAAATAACTTTTTAATTTGTTTAAATTGTGCAGATGCTACTTATTCAAGGCCTAAACCTTTAAGTTTCATTTAATTTCCATCAAGCCTCACTGCACATTGGTTAATTTGTCACAACAACATATTTGGACCCTGTGACCAAGTTCCTTGCTCAGTTCTGTGTTATGTAAGCTGTGTAAACTCTTGCATGTCGTGTAAAAAGGCTGATGTGGTTTGGGAATGAAATCATTTGCCCTTGAGCATTAAACTGAGGGCTTGCCATGATGACTCATAGCCAGGCAAATGATTCCAATCTCAACCGCTGCCCCTTTTCACAACATGCAGGATTTTACACAGCTTACGTAACATAGCACTAAAATTGATTAAGACAAGGAACTAGGTCACACTGTCCAAAAATGCTGTTGTGATCCATTGACCATTGCGCATGCATGACTGAAATTAAACGAAACTCTATGGGTTTATGCCAAGGAAAAGGAGTATCTGCACAATCAAAAAACTTTGAAAATTGACTTCATGGTTATTTCAAAAATAGTCAGACGGACACTTTTTGGTGGAATACAGTAGTGATTGCAGTGATTGCAGTGACGCTAAGTATATTGGTGGTAGTAATGCAAATGATGAGGATGACTTAGGCAATGTTACATACCAAACTGTACCAACTACCCTAACCATAGTGAGGACAGTCCAAACTATAATTTGAGCAGTCCCGACTGTAGTTTGGGTAGTCCCACCTATAGTTTGGGCAGCCAACTGTAGGCATTATGTGTATAGGCGGAGTTAGAGAGCAGTGGTTTTGTATCGCTAGGATAGACATGAATAAACCCTTTTTTTTTTGTTGATAAACGAAAATATCAAAGAATACCGCCTGAGATACCTGCATTGCGTAAGGTCTATAGAAGATCTTTCATTTATATACTCTAATGCATTGTGCAACCACGTGCAGTTTACATTGATTTCACGTTCAATCATGACAGAAAACAACTACTGCCTAAAATATCACATTTTTTCTTCTTGCTACTTACTACTACTAAACAAATAATAGAACTTTGAATAATGATATGGGTAGGTCGGACAACAATAAATACAGCATAAATTGTCATTATTCGTGCACCATATCTCTGAAGAGGGAAACAAAAGCGGTAAAGAATTGCAAGAAATGACTCCCTTTGTGCCCTGAACCCTCAAATTATGTATCCTTATTTCAACAGAAAAAAAGACATTTTGTATACAATCAGTAAATATAGAAACCACAATGTACACCATGCACACTTTTAAGAATGCACTTCGATCTCCGATGGTATAATTAATATCCAATTTACAGACAGTTTCAATGCATTTGTACAGTCGTACAGTACTTTGCACTTCGAAATAAATCGGCATAAGCACTCATCAACAGACATATCGTGACTGAGCGGGTAGATACCGCGGTGGTAAGTTCCACAACTCGGTCGATTGTATTGCTGCTGAAGGTGTTTGTTGTAGTTCAAGAGTTAAGAGATATTATTGCATTGGATCGTATCAAGGACGAGATATTATTGTCACCGTGTACATTGATGGTGTAAAGCACTTTGCACCGCGAGTCATTAGTCCGACATGGCAGAATGACAACTGCATGATTGCTGTGATAATGATGTCGGCTCAATCTTTTGCCTCACACGAAACTAGTCATTGGAAAAATAAAGAGGTTACAGTATAAAGTAAAGCAAAACAGGACAAAGGCAACCAGGTAAAAACTGGTACCAGAGTACACAGAATTCTGTTCCATTGATTCAGAATAGCCATTCGCTTAAGTCTTTTCATCCATCATGTGTACGTAGTGGTCGGATCATGGTCGGATTTAGCCCATTCATTGGCATAACAGGGTAATCCTATACGATAGCACTGCTCTGCTAACATTTAATGCAGTCAGTCAGTAAGTCAGCCAGTCAGTGGGTCTATAGCAAGAATATGACGGTTACGGTACACATGGCACTGCTTGAGAAATGCGACACTGAAATTTTGACATAGTAGATTGTCGGTTTTCCCTGCTATTTGAAGAATGTTCTCTTTTGCACATCATAGATAATCATAACAGTCTACATTGAACAATCTATGTCACTGTCATGGCCATTGTTACTGTCTCTGTTATACTGTCGCAGGTGTCAACCCCCTTTTACGCACCATTGGCGGCTTCACCAAACCCACTATGGTCGTGACAGTCTCCAACGATGGCACCCACTTTCAGTTCAAACAGTCGTCGACTTCTTTCAGGAAGTACGACTTGGAGTTTGACCTTGGGTCAAGTTTGAGCAGAAGACTATAGACGGTAGAATGGTGAAGGCAAGTACATGTAATGATTTCCAGATTGTAGCCGATGAGGGCGCTAAGCTTAACGACGCCGTTTTGGGGGTAACAAACAACAGTGAATACCAGGTTATCGACATTAAGGAAACAACACAATTCATTTCCTTTTCATATTGTTTCTTGTTAATCAAGTATGCTTACCAATGCACATTAAGTGGTCGGGGTAGGCCCTTCTTCAATGCAAAAGTGAGACAAAAATATAGGTTTGGCCGTCCAATTTTCCTAAAATGTTCATTCACTTCTAAAAATCGGTCATTCCTTTTCGTCTGAATTTGAGAATCGCTTTTAACATGGTTCCATTTTTGCTGCAGAGCATTCGATTCCATTTCAGTTCAGATTATAATTTTAAAATTGAAATATACATGCTTTTTCAAAACTTTGATTTAAAAAAATGCCAAGATTTGTTGAAAGATATTTTTGAACAACGATATATTTCTTCCCCAAGCTCTGAGTTTGGGCTTGAGAGGGGCACAGGATCTGGCCGAAGGGGATACCCCATGCCCCCACCCACCCCCTTTTGCGCCATTGCCATCCGGACCCACCTTTTCGTTGTGATTTTCAGAGCACCGTGGTGTTGGAGGACGACGGTCAGTTAATTCAGCGAGACAGGGCCAACAATCCTGACGAGAAAGACACGACATTCATACGCCGGATAAACGAAGACGGAGATTTAGTCATGGTCTGTAGTAGTAATTACAGAATTACAGTTACATTGATGTATTCATTGTGATGAAATTAAAGTTTAAAATCCCAAAAGAGAACCAAAATATCTGCAGTTGCTATAATTGTGGCTTTGAAACAGTTTGCGGTTTGCTGTCGATTCGAAAAGCTACAAATTTATTCCAAAAATGGCAGGATGTTTTCACGAACTAAGCATAGTTAGATGTATACTAATTCTGGCCTCAATTTTGATAATAATTTTTTCCAGATCTGCCAAGTCGACGATGCTTCTTGCACGCGCATCTATCAACGAGTTTCATAGCCGACTTAGGAGGCCTGTTCACCAGTAATGCATGGGCATCTTTGTCTCGTCATGTATAATGACGCGAGAATTCATGTTGACAAAATATCAGCACCCTCAATTCTCGCTTCTCGTGAAATAAGTTGTTCTTGTAAATAAATATAAATAAATGTTAACATCAATATTGAGTTCAACAATATTTTGTCAGTATTTTGAAAATGGAGGCAAGGCAAATTATTCAAACATTTTCTCAAGGCAGTGCATAAATCCTTCTCCACATAGGCTTTCATTCCAATCTGGTTACCAAGGTGGATTTTAAGGGCTTTTAATCTTTAGAGTTTCTTACATCATTCTAGTTTAGTAGATATCCCTGGCCCATATGCTTAAGATGACATTTTAACTAGACGCGATTCCAACCACTTGAAGTCAAAATTGGAGTTAATGTTATTTGTATGAAATTATAACCTTTTGAAATATTGGATCTTGAGGAAACTTGTTTGTGTCTTAAAACGATTCAGGATTTTAACTATGTTTAACTATGGGAGGGGCGTGGCGCAAACAAAATGTGTACAGCTTCAGTTCCCCCTCGACATTTTTGTGTACCCCCAGGTACCCCCTCAAAAGTTTCACCCTAGTTACGCCACTAAGTGTGCTTATGGGACCGCCCGGTGTACTGTATTCTCAGTTTAAAGAAATGGAAATCGTCATAAATATTTTGACATATCTGTATAATATATTTTTAAAGCTCTTGCAGGAGCTTATACATGTCACTTGGTGGTCGACCGTTCTGTCTGTCTGTTGTCTGTCTGTCCATGACATTGTGTGCCATCGGCGTCGCATTTTTCGGCGTCGCATTTTTCAGCTCTGGCAGGGATCATTTTGATCGATTTCATGCAAGACTTTCATGCAAGACTTTCATGCAAGACTTCTTGCAACACGGCCAGAGCCTATTGTGCACTCACACTTGTTTTCGTACTAAATGTACAATATTCTCTAAGAAATGGTTCAGTCTCGTGTTAAATGGAGGACTTACCAAGTGAATAATTGATTTTTTTCTTTAAAAATATGAAATTACACAATGGTCAATAGTGGTCAATATAAAAATTGTGGGATGATGAAGAGTGTTGTTTCGCTTGCATTTCATAGAAATTCTCTTGGGGATTAGGCCTAACAAAAAAAGATACACTCGGTATAAAGGAAATTAAGAGAAACCGAGAGAACTTTTAAATTGTTCCTTACAGTTAAATCTGAAGAGTTATTGTTAATATCCATAGGCTACAAGAAAAGTCATAACATGTGGCGGTGTAAAAGAGCGCCCTCATTGTGACACATTGCCAAGTCGGACTTTTTACAGATCATGTTGAAGCTACCTTATGCGAACGTGACTTGATCAATGTTTGTCCAAAAATATCTCGCAGGTGAGAATGAAGGCCGAAATACAGTTTTACTTCACTACTTGTTTATTTTCCGCGCTAAAAGTGGAGACCTTCACAATCTACCATTATCACTGGGTCTTATGTCAGCAGTGGGACGCCATCACACGCTCATATCTAATTAGCAGAATGACCCTCAACTCCGACTTTCATCCTAGCGAACTCTCTAAAATGAACGTCAAAATACAGGAAATGACTTTTCCCCTTCAATTCCATAACAGTGTGATTGTATTTTAAAGTGGCTTTATTCGCTTTAAAAGGGAAGTTGGCCTACGTGTAAGAACACACGTGTTTATGGGTCAAGGAAACTTGATGTTCAACTTACTGTTAAATAAACGTAAAGCGTAAAACCTAAGTAACAAGTCGATTGAAAACAGCATTGTGATTCCAGAAAATCATGTAGATGAAACGATCCGTCTATTCATCTTTTATCGATCAAATAATTCATTGAAAGACTCGCACAATTCCATCACAAATTTAGCCTGTTGGACGGCAGGGTCTCACCATGGCGCATTTTGAGGGAACATATCAACTGAAATCCTGCCAAAACTTTGCGGAGTTTCTTCATGCACTGGGTAAGTTAACGAGCTGTTTTATGTACACGTAAGTTCATTTATAACATTCAATGCACAAGGTTCAAGCAGTTGGATAACTACATAGGCCTACATGGGATTTAAACTTCTGGGGCCACTAAGGAGTGTCTACATTTTTCACATCTTTAGGGGAGGGACACTGAAGGCAAATGATGTGTATTTTTGTTCAATTGAAGATATTAAACGGGCGGGGGGGGGGGGGGATTAGCACCTATACATCCGCTGCCCCCCTCCCGTGCCGTCTCGGTCCCGTAGTATACGCCACATCTTTACTTACTTAAAAATTAGTGGTTTGTCCATTATTAGTGGGCAGTAAGCTTGCAGTAAGCTTGCTCTGGGGAGTAAGCTTGCTCTAGAATCCCAGCTTCTTGGCATCCACACAGGATGCAACTTCACACTTCATCGCTTTCGCTTCTACTACATTACTGTTTACCTTCTTAGAGTTTAGGCATTCTCCTGAAGACGGTCAGAGCATACTGACCGGAACGTCGAGTTTATACCTCTGGTTCTTTTCAGAACCATTCTCTTAGTTGAGAAATTATTCACACATGGTGTTTCCGCAAACCTTTCATTATTCATCATTATTAGTTATCTTCGTTAATAATTATCATCAGTTATTCTTTTTCATTGTACCTGTTGTCATTATAATCACCGTCATTTCTTTATCACAGGAATGAGCCCTCTATTGTTAATGACGGGAGGCCAAAGCCATTGTTTCAATGAACCCTCATTGGAGGTCCAGGTCACGTGCAATGACACCCATTTCCAGTTTAAACAGTTGCTGTCGAGCTTCAAGAGTTATTCCGACCGAGACTTGGAGTTTAACCTCGGGCAGAAATTTCAGCACCCTACGGTAGACGGACGGACAGTCGTGGTGCGTATACAAAATGACAGAACCGGGTAATGGTTATAGCGCCCTCTCGTGAGCTCAGTTTAGGTCTTCGTTCGTGACTGCTCAGCCCTGTTAACAAAACTTGTACCGGAAAAGAAGGCGTCGCAACGTATTGTGGGAAGGTCACTTAACATAAACAATATGTGTGCATTTCGTGCGCATGGGTCATGCGCACACGGAAGTGCTGACCCCGGGTCAATGTCTAAACAAAATCTATCGTATGAGAACTCAAGCTAGTATGGTTACTAAAAGTGTACGTGCTAAAATTGCTATTAGTGGATGTAACTGTCAGTAAAAAAGGCGGTTTTTTTCTCCGTTGAATATGGTCGTGAGAACTAAATACTATTGGTCACTTGCCTCATCTTTTTTTCTTAAAAGAAAATCACAAACTTCTCTCAATGATAGTGGCAAGTCCTTTACGGATAGTAACAGTCACGACTGGCAAGCAGACGCAGAGAGACGTTGATTTTTATTGCGGGGGGGGGGGGGAGGACTCGGGGTCCTGAGTTGGAAAAAAATGCTAAACTGTCCAAGGTGGTGATTGGCAAGGGGGGAATCCAGAGCAAACCTTTTTTTTGGGGGGGGGGAGCAAAAAACATTTGCCCTCCACTCCCGGATCCGCCCTTGTTGATTGGCATGGTTACCCCTCCGCCACCATCCCCGTCTGACCAATGAGTTGCAACGGCCATTTCTTTGTGAATGAATGGAAAAACCCAATATTTATTGAGGTTCCTTGAATAACATCAATAATTATGGCAAACCTTGATTCAATGCTTCATATTATAATACCTTTGGTCTTTTTTTGTCTCGACCTGCAACGTTTAATCCACAACCCTTTAAGATTCTTGGACTTCATCAACCCTACCACCCATTTTGAAAATCCTGGACCTGCCTATTGCGCAAATTAATAACTTGGTGGCTTTTATTGCAGAGTATCGTCACATTGGACGACGACGGTCGATTAATCCAGCAGGATACAGCCACTAAACCAGACCAGAAAGACACGACACTCATCCGTGAGATTAATGAAGAGGGTGACTTGGTAATGGTGAGTGGCTAAATATCATCATAGTTACCATAATTATATCAAATCATTTTTTAACAAAATGATACTATACGTGACGGTGTATAGGCATAGATGGCTCCTGTTTTCATGAAACCTTTTCATTTTTAGACGGTTGATGGCGCTGTTGTGAATCACCGTGAATTTGAGCCAAGTTGTCAACAATTTGAAACTTATATTAATTTGTAAACATATTTATTAAGTAGCACAGAAGTACGATATTTTCGATAAAAAAACAGAACTTGACAATTCATGTCATGATTGGTTCACAGGCACCATATGTATATTTATACGGCCATATGCAGTATTATCCAACAGTCATTTAGCTGTACGTGTAGAGACGGATGATGGAACACTAACATCCTACTATAGCACATTTTATGGGAAATAAACTCATCAGGATGCTGTTGAATTTCCTTTCAGAACTACAAAGTGGATGACGTTATCTACACACGAATTTACCAGCGGATATCCTAGTCCATCGTCAAACAATGTGTTGCGGATAAGAATGACAAGGCAGTGTGCCTCGTCCACTGATGTCTCGTTATCAAATCTCGCAAGAAAGTCAAAGTTCGTCTTAAAAAAAAAGTAAGGATTTCGCAACCACTTGCGCTACAAACCGAAGGAGACATTAACAAAAATAAAAACATTAATTTGATGGCGTAATTCTTTTTTGAACAAAATGTGTTATTTAACAAGAGTAGTTCAACGGGTTTAGTTTAGTTATATTATTTTCATGCAAAATGCTGACTAACCGTTTTACCAATAAATGTCAGTCGCGACCAAACAAATATTTTTGACAACCATTGATTGAACGAAATTGCAATATACATGGAACTATGTTTCACATTAATGGTACAAATGTTACAGTACTGACGAGTCTAGATAATCACCTTTTCGGATGATCCTTAGCCAACCCAAATTCCTCAAAATTAGGTTAACCACTGCAACGGTGTTAGGGTATAGAGATGGACTTTCGGTTAGCGAACGAAAAGTTTATTTTGTAATGAAATGGACCGTAATGGAGCTTCCCTGAGCTGAGATCATAGCCTAATAAAGAAAGAAACGCATGCTCGCATTGCCCGGCACTGTACTCACAAAAAATCGAGTCAACGAAGCTGCATATTTTACATGATTGTAATTAATTGCGCAGAAGAAAATACAATCTTCTGCGCACGATTTTTGATAATTAATACACATTCTCTACCAGGCGGTTAAAATATAAATAGTTCAACTTATGTTTGTCTCCGTGAGGCGAAAGACATTTTTGTTATCTGTGTGAATTGAATGTTGAAGTAAATGTATAAAACCATATCTCAAGAAACGAACTGAAAGATTAAAAATAACCAACTGCAATACTGCATGAAAACACATTACTTCCCAATATACGAAGGGTTCTGGGACAAGGGCGGATCCAGAACACAATTTTTGGGGGGGCCAAAAAAATTTTTGGTCCCCCAAAAAAGTGGGTAAAAAAAATTACGGCGTGGGGTTCGGGGCCCGCTTAAGGGCCCCGAAAAATTTTTGGATTCTAGATGCTCTGTGGTGCGATCTGAGGCAATTTCTGACCACTTTAACCAATGTGTTTTTGAGAAAAAGATGGTGGTGTACTCATTGCCTGCCTTTATTGCGATGTCACATAAAAAAAAAAAAAATTGGTTTCGTTTTTGGGGGGGGGGGCCATGGCCCCCTTTGGCCCCCCCCCCTGGATCCGCCCTTGTTCTGGGATTGTACCGCCCCACGCTCATAATTTTATACTGGAGAAAAATAATTAAAAACAGTGCTGCGTATGTCACGCCAAGTAATTGGAACAAATACCGTTGGCATCCCTTTAATTAGTTCCGTGCGCATCCGTGCCCTGTACATGCACATGGAGCAGAAGTTCCGTGGAAAACATTGCAGTCATCGTGTAGATTATGAGCCGACAGTTGAACATCCGGATGCATAGACGCAAACGAGACTGTGTTAATAGTCAGGCTATAAAGGTCAGACTGTGTGGTGTGGTGGTGTAACGCCTTCTTGATCCATTGCGGCCTGTTTCGAGTCTAGTATCGGCCAAATCTTCTAATCGGACCTCTTGTAAGGGACACGGACAGCGTTGAGATCTCGAGGGAGACAAAGGTTCACCTCTACATTCTTGGGGAGGTCGCAATATTGCCACACACCCAGATTGTTGCGAGTAATACTCAGTCATCTCCAAGCTCCGTCTGACATTTTGTCGTCCTGTCACAAAAATGGCTCAGTTTAACGGCACGTACAAGCTAGACCCGGAAAGCAGCCAGAATCTGGATGAATTTATGAAGGCAATCGGTGAGTAAAAAAAGTCGGTTAGAATTGTATGTGTTGACAATGTTTGTATTGCCGATGTATCGCCACAATGCGCTTATTGTGGCGGAATTTATTCCCTAGGCCTGTACGGATCAGTGCAAAAACCCAGACGAACATTGCGATGTTAATATTGTTATTATTCACAAGATGGAATTTTGCGTCGGGGTGATGTAAATCAAACTAGGTTTTGCCCTTCACCGACGTATAAACACTGTCATGGGCGTCGCCAGGATTTTTTCTAGAGGGGGGCAAACATTTTTTTTGCCAAAAAATGCTTGTATTTCTCAACACATTCTCGATTTATCAGTTTTAGAGGGGGGCAGGGACATTTTGCCCCCCCCCCCCCCCACTCATTAAATTTGCACCACTTTGTCTTCGCGCCTCCTTTTTTTTTTTTTTTCTTCTTCCTTTTTCTTCCTTTTTTTTTTTTTTTTTTGCTTTTCCGGGGGGGGGGGGCAAGTGCCCCCCCTTGACCCCCCCTCGCGACGCCCATGAACACTGTATACTCAGTGTGTTAATATAATATTGTTATTATACACTTTAGCCTACGTGTATTTGTACCTGGAACGTTTGTAGTCGGTGCGGTGGATCTACTGTGGTGCACATGCCTGCTTACCCCCCTCCCCCCCTCCCCCAATTGAGCTTCCCCCTCCCCCATCCAAAGCTGGATCCGCCCCTGCTTTTGACCTATCAACGTGGAATTATGCTATTCAACGATTTGATGTTTTGGAATCAAGCAACTGCAGGAAAACATGGACGACACAATTCCGGGAAATGACGTTTGGGATGACATGCAAGAAAAACTAGAACTCTTTGCCTTTCGTTTATCAATGACAGATAAAATGATGAATCACGTTTTAAAGTGGACGGGAAAAAACTGTGGAAATTGAAACCCAGTCAATGTTATTGTTCCGGGTATATAATAATAGGCCAGCTGACAGCTTCAACTCGCGGTACGATTGTGTTCTTTGATACGAGGCTAGAAATATACCTGCTAATAATAGGCCTATACATCGACAGTTTCTATTGTGTATTTTCCAAGTAGAGAGTTCAGCACTTACAGTTACACTTCGTGTTTACTTTCTCAAAAATATTACTTCCAAAGCACGCATGGGAATGTGCACTATGCGATAAATATATGCCCTTGTTAACAGGCAATAATATGCAAAGTAATTAACATTTAATGCGCATGACTGAACAAAGCTATTTTGAGTCACACGCCGCTGCATACCTCGACGGGTATCTGCACTTTAAATTCAGTAGCCTTGAATGAATCGATCTGATGCGCATAAAAAGGGTATTATAATGTCAGTGCATTTTTATGTGAAATAATAATGTTAAATAATTGTCTATAACTCATTTATTTATCGTGCTGCAGACATGGCCAGTCGATTACCTTAAATTATGCGGGTGCTGTAAAACTCAATGGTGACCCGAAACAATCCCTTAGTCTCCATTTGAAATTTGTCTGTATTTGAAATCTGCGCTAACATCGACTCAATTTTCTGTTATACCGCAGAAAGCTACGAAATTTCCCATCTGAAATGTTTTATGCATAAAAGCCACATTGTAAGGAAACTACAAGGAAATATATTATATTAACCAATATATTTATTTAACATATTACTTAACATGTTAACCTGCAGTGCAGACTGCTGCACGTTCTGCCTGTGTCAAATTTTGTCGAGTAACACGATGAGGCGACAGCTTAAAGTTCAAACAAACTCAGACACATGCAGAGCAAATACAATATTTCTATGAACAACCGTGTTATATTGATTTTGAGCCATGAACTATATGAACTCATGTATTATTAGAACCTGTATGTATATAGCCAGGTGCGGTTCCATAGAGCGGAGGACTATAGCAGGGGTGGATCCAGCAATTTTGCATGGAGGCGTGCTGAAATGTAGACCGTTTTTTTCCCCGGACACTTAGGCCTAGCCTCCGAAAATCAATGGGGGAGGGGGGTGTCTCGTACCATATTTTCAATGGGCAGCGCTGATCAAATACTACAATCATGCACACTATATTACCTAATAGTGTAGAAATGCCCCTTCTCAGGAAAGGCTACGCCTCTGGCGGACATGTATGTTATTATTAGGCGAAGTAAAAAAAAAAAAACATGTTTCTCGTCCCCACCCGCTTCCTTTTTGGATTTTTAATATCATTTTTTTATTTTTGAAAAATGCAGTAAAAAAACACCGAAAAAGTCCACAAATTCATCGGAAAATAAATACTGGCGAAAAATGTTCATTGTAGACCAATACAACTCTAAATGACACTGTAAATATGTTCAGTTCTCTTGTCCAACTTGTCTTTCTTTTTAAAAGTGTCTTTGAACAGTGGAAAAAAACCAACGGTTGCAGGAAATTTGAAAATGGCGGCCATCTTGAAAAAAAATAAAAAATAAAAAATAAAAATCCCCTCTTCCTCTTTTTTCAAAAACCCGGACGAGAAACATGTTTTTTTTATTCGGCCTTATCAATGCAATTTTCAATTTCAACTGTTTTCAACAGGGGGGGGGGGGGGGGGTGGAAGGGTTTGACACAAATACCACCCCCTCTGGATCCGCGCATGGCCGGCTGTAGCGAATATTATTTTTTTTTGGGGGGGGGCTTAGACCGTTCGCATGTGACGTCACCTTCTAACATTCGATACTGCTATTTATTTATTTTTCGGGGGGGGGGTAAACAAAAGGCTATAGCCCCCCCCCCCCCCTCCCCCCCCCCCCCCCCCCCCCCCCCCCCCCCCCCCCCCCCCCCCCCCCCCCCCCCCCCCCCCCCCGTAGAACCGCGCCTGTATGTAGCATTCTGGGAAAAATGATTCAGACCTTCAGACTCATTAATATTTGCGCAAGGAGTGTCACTGCTTCGTGTTAGATGGTCGGGATTTTTATGCTGTTTGTAACAAACACTGGCTATATTATAGCTTGTACCACTGTATACCAGGCTTTGAGTGGGCGCAGAATATGCCATATATCATGCGCTAGTGACGGGTTTATGGATTAAATGCATGAGAAAGAGTGATACCCCATCCTCCTTGGGGACACAGGGTTTCAGTAAATTTAAAGTAGCAAAAATCTTACTAAGAAAAAAAAAACATGTGGTTCTCCGTGTGATATTTTAATTTCACGTGGTGAAAAAAAAAGCTAAATCGCATTTAACTTCAGTTGTTAGGTTTCATTCATTTACGTGAATGAAACTGAAAAAAATATTGTTACTGTTTATAAACAATAAAAGTAAGCTGTTTCCCTCATAAGATTAATTGATATTGCATGATTAGAAAAATAACACATGCGTGAAATAACAAAGGTGTTCAATTTATGCTTTGGGCACACGGACTCCTTCTCGTTTCCTTCATTAGTCTATGTTTATTCCCACCATTTATTTACATATAATTAATACAAGGACGCGATACTCAGAAGACGCTAATGAGCAAACATTTGCGACGCTGTATACGGCTATAATACATCGCACACTCTTAATTGCTGTTGCTACTGAAATGTGCAATGAGTGACTTAATATTTGCCGATTTTTTTTATTATATGCACCTAAAACAAAATTCGAGAAAACTTGTACAGCTCACCAAAAGAATAGAATATTGTTGCTCAACTTCAATCACTAGTTCGGTTCGTTTGCAATTTAATACAGTTACTACAGTTGTAAATACAGTTGTTTGCAATGTGTACAACTTTCTTTTGTACAGGAGACATCTTTACTCGGTCTATAAATTCTCTCCAGTACGGCATCATTGAGCTTTGGAAATTAACATTTACGCGAACCGTGCAACCATGGCATCTCTCCTGGGCGATGTTCGCGCGTGCGTACTGCACCCGTGCGACAGTTCCTCGAGTGCTCTGTAAAGCGCATGCGTAGTAGACTGTCGCACGGGTACGGGTAACCCATGCGACAGTCTACTACGCATGCGTATTTACAATGTGCGTGATTCCTCGCGCGCGTGTTTGGTAAACAGCAAGAATAACATCTGGCACGTGATGGTGAATTGATCATGAATATGTATGAGGTATAGTAAATTATCCATAGCAGTAGTGTGAACTCCAACTCCCCTTCCTATGTATCAAATACTGATGCCGCGAGAGCCTGGTTCACCCCTGGTGGCGCGCTTCCGGAAACCTTGAAAAGGAAAATTAACGTGAACAAATGGTAGAATTTGCAATTATTTTTGGTTCATTGATTTCTTCAGAAAATCACCCCCGAAAAAAAGGCCTTTGTAAAATTGTTACTAGCATATCAATATATGGAAATTGATTAATCGCCTGACGTGAAATTGAAATGTCGTGTCAAAAAATCACCTTTCACTTCCGAAAATCTAAAATACATGCGGGCTAGTGCAACTCGGTGTAATCGTACATTATGTGAACATGTATAAAATAGTTTTCTTTTGTGGCGGTTATTTCAACTTAAAGTTAAATAGAAGACCAACATGTCTTTTAGGGTTTACAATTTTTTTGAATAAACCTAAAGGACTCATTAGCATTTACGAAAACATCTAAACTGACCTCTGATAAGGACTGCACTCAAGCCAGCCCGACTAAATCTAGAACCCATCGGCTGTTAATCTTCGCGTCATTATGCATTCTCGTTCTCACGCAAGTACGTGATGTGAAAACAACTGAACGAACACGGAGACCAAGGAATGAAAATTACGGACGTGGAAGGTTTTAATAAGTTCGTTTTTATCTATCTCCAGGTGATTTTTCATCAATTCTTGAAGAATAGCAAGATAAAATCCCAACATTAGCGTTTCTTGGGGTGTCCACGGTTAGAAGTCGTTCTGTCACAAGTTATAGCAGGAGAAAGGGCAACCCAGTGAATGCCCGTAGCCGGGCCGCGCGAGGGTTACGGAAACTCGCCGCGTATCTTTTTACTTTCAGGCTTCATTTCAGTTGAATTGCTACTCTAGGCCTATTCGAGGGGATAGTCAGTTAAATCAGGTTGCTCAAAACCCTAGATTTGCTAAAACAAAAACAACAACAAATAATTAAAGAAACAAATAAATAAACCAAGGCAAGCAGAGTAAGGTCGATCCTAGAGAATTATGCTAAGAGGTTTATTCAGCTTGAACTATGTTCAGGCACCTGGTCTACACAATGGGCCGGGTTGAGCCCAAATTGGTGTTACGGGGGAAAATCCTATACAATTGCAGTGACAGTGAGTCATTCAGTGAGGTACAAACATGACTGTAGGCTGGCAATTGTTTGGGGGGACCAGCTAAAAAAAGTAGTATCCCCTTGCACAGCAATGGTTTATGATATGCGAGCAGATTCGGCGATTAATAATTATGCAAAACAAGACTACGTCTTGACCTTGAGATTCTCACCATTCAGTGGGCGCCTTCTATCGTGTTTTCGGTAGCCCGGTTGTGGTATTACAACGACATGGCATCCAAATTGATCAATCAAGCTTAGTCCACATTTCTAAAGTCGACTCCGATTGGATGGCGCGCGGGGTCGCATAAAACTTGTATGTTATCTGACGTTCGACCGTGGCTCTGCGCGCGTGAATGTCTGATCCCCAAGACTAACAATAATGGACCCACATCATTAAAAATTGAAAGGACGGGAGTCTGTTTCCCTTCTCTATGGTTAATCAATGGGTTTTTGTATAGGTGTTTGAAATTGTGTGATCCTGTAATTTCCAAAATGTGTGAACTCATTTGCAGTCGATGACAGCTGTACTGGCGCTTGTTCCGTTCAAGTAAATATTTCTCATCATCACGGTAGCTCGCCAACTACGTAATTATAATTTCCGTGCCCACTGTCTAAACATATTCATGACGCAGCCCACGTTTATTTTAGGGATGTGATTTTAGATTTAACAACGTTCCCCTTTCAGTGGCGTAATCGGGGGGGGGGGGGGGGTGAGGGCACCCCCCCCCCAGCCTGTCCTTATTCTCCCATAAGTATTTGTTGAACGGCAGATCTTTAAAAACTCTTTCAGTGCATCATAAAGAAACTGATCCCCAACTACCATCACCGTACAATATGTTTGGACCTAGTTACGTCACTGTTTATTGTTTGTTTGTTTGTTTGTTTTTGGTAGATTTGTTGTTCAGTGGGACAAAAATGCTGGAAGGTCTTTGAGGTTCAAATCCACTCCTTCGCCTGTGTTCACGACCCGCCCCTTATTATGGTCCCCACTTGCTATTTTTTGCATAAGAAGACGCAATGGGCTGTGGTCTAGTTACTGATGCTCTACCCATGCTGTTTTCGCCTTCACCCCGAAAAATAGATTTTGTTTATAAATTGCTATTTTTCTAGCAATGCAAAATGTATTCACTTTTGAATGAGGCATCGAGCAAAATAAAGCCACCGACGTTAAGATATGGAATTACTTCTTTACAAAATTCGAATTATTTGCTGCCCGACAATAACTCCATCCGTGCAGGGTAGACTGGTTGCCGCCTCCCTATGAGAATGGAGACCGGAAACCAGCCTACTCGTAGGCAGCACCTGCTCGTGTGCAAAAGTAAACTAAAGTAAAAGCTGTTAAAAAAAAACATTAAAAAATAAGTAGCCATTTCCGTTAAAATATAACACTCAAATTGAAAATTCGTTAGGATTTAATTAGATTTAAAAAAAAAAATCGAATATGTTGAAGAGCACGGTTAGAATAATCATGAAGCAAAATCGGAGGGTTCCCTTCGAAAACTAAACTATCATCTTGTTGTCGCTCTTTGTCCCAGGTGTGAGTGAGGAGATGCGTAAGGTTGGCAGCAGTCTCATCCCTGAGGTTACCATGGAGACAGCAGACGGCAACCATTTTAAGATGACTACTGTGACTGCTTTTGCTACTGTGGTTGTGGAGTTCAATCTTGGAGAGGAGCAGGAAATCACTACTGCAGACGGGAGGAAAACCAAGGTCTGGTTGAAATTGAGAGCAATGGGTTCGACTCGCCACCAAATAGGCATTTCAATTGATTTCTTGGAAAACTTCCTTCCGCATCTGCCATCAACATTCCCCCGCCCCATCAACCTCCCCCCCCCCCATCCGAAAATTAAAAGGACCCACACACACATACACACACAGAGAACAAGATCGAATTCCTAGGAATAAAGAGCATTTATTTATTTAAATGAACAATATACAGATTGCGAAGGCCATTGCCTTAATGAGAATAATACGCTATCCCCGTAAAACGCTTTGAATAGCGCCCTCATGTTGGGTTCTCGATTGTCAGCTTTTTGCTCTGAAAGTTCATTCCCCGTACTATTTTCCGAGCTTCATCCCGAAAAACAGATTCCTTTTCTAAATTGCTTTTTTTCCTAGCAGTTCAAAAATTATTCAATTTTGAATGAGACATTATTTTACCGAAAAAAAATCGGCCCATGTTTAGTTATTGCATTATTACTTTGCAAATTTCGAAATATTGTCTGCCGACGCTGATTCCGAGCCCACGGGGTAGGCTGGTTCCCGCCCCGCAATCAGTATCGACAATACGTACTGACCGGGAGCCAGTCTGCTCGCAGCGTATTACGTTTGTGCCAAAAACTTTTTCAAAGGGTTGCTGACGTGAGACGTAAAAAAAAAAAAGGGAAAAGAGTGTTTTTTTGTTGTTTTTGGAATAAAACATACAAGTTGAACATTTACTAAGAGGGAAAAACGAATTTGTTGAAGAACACGGAGAACTCATCTAATCGCTGTGGTGCTAGCAGGTTTGCATTCATTTCATTGCGTAATGATCTTGTTTTTAAGCGAATAAGGGCGCTGTGTACATTCGACATTTTCTGGACTCCAACAGAAGAGACACCACCTTTAATGAAGCAATTAAGCAACTTTACTCCAATCTAGAAATTGAAGGTTTAAAGATGTTATTTTGTTTAAATTTTAACCTATTTAATTTTTTTTTCATTTTTGTGGTACATATATCAGATTTAGTAAGGTTTATTTTTTTTAATTTTTTTTTCGTTTCCCATTTTAAGAGTGTTTACAGCCTGGAAGGCAACACGCTGAAGCAAGTGGAGACACCGTCGGATGGTAACGGACCATCGGCAACTTACGAACGAATACTCAAGGCAGACGGGAATATCGAAATGGTTGGTCAAATTCTTTTTAAAGAACTCTTAAAATTCCTTGAAAACAAGCCTGAAATGTGCAGAACACAAGGACAATCCAACCAAGAGTTTGACTTTGGTCAAGTCACTTAATCTTCAGTGCCCTACATCTTTGTTTAACTAACTGGAATTCTTTCGGAGTTTTTAAGGCCGTTTCATCCCGGTGCAAAAGCGAACGCGAATTTGTGACGTCACGGTAAGTGTTTGGCTTCGAATTCGCAAACTGAATACATTTTCAGTCCAAATTTGACGTCACGAAACAACTCGCTGCAAAATTCGTCAGAGTTGGAATCGCGGTGTTCAACTTTTGCGAATTCGATTTTCACAGCCAGAATGATTACCGTGACGTCACAAATGCGCGTTCGCGTTCGGGCCGAGTGTGTCTTATAATTATACCAATTAAAGGTGTACTTTCGTCCTGCGATCGACAAAATTTGAGTGTTTCATATTTTGAAAAGTCTGGTTTGAAATCTAGAAAGTATTGCAAATTTAAAGAATACGCGAGTGGAAGTTGCTGCGTGACGATATCACACTGCCCGAAAGGAACGGCGGGGATTTCCTCTTTCCACGCTCCGCCATTGGGCATGCAGAGCCTCGATCTGGCAACTTTACACAATAAAAATAGCCTGTTCAGTGATCTGAACCCCGATACGGGAATCACTGAACCGGCTATATTTATTGTGTAAAGTTGCCAGATCGAGGCTGTGCATGCCCATGGCGGAAGTGTAAAAAGAGCGAATGACCAATCGCACAGTGCTTGTATGCATGGGAGCACGCGAATTGAATTACCCGCGCTTTGTTCGGGCACCGTGCAGTCGATAGGGGCCAATGACGGGCACGTGTGGAATAGGCTTAGCAATTTCTCCTCGCGTAATCTTTAAATTTGCAACTTTTCAAACTGCATCATTTTTCATAAGCAGTTGTCAATCTTGGACGATTTACAGTCTTTGGTAGCAAACGGGTATCAAAATGTAGCTAACAAACTTCCCCAAATGTCTATATAAAAAATGTCATCAGATTCAAAAATTATGACCCCTCCAATAAGTGAGCACTTTCTTTTTTTGAGGTGTTTATTATCCTATTGTTGGAATCGCGGTGTTCAACTTTTGCGAATTCGATTTTCGCAGCCAGAATGATTACCGTGACGTCACAAATGCGCGTTCGCGTTCGGGCCGAGTGTGCCTTATAATTATACCAATTAAAGGTGTACTTTCGTCCTGCGATCGACAAAATTTAAGTGTTTCATATTTTGAAAGGTCTGGTTGGAAATCTACAAAGTATCATACATTTCAGAGAAAATTTGGGGAAAACCCAAGTGTTGACATGTGACGTCGAAACCATTTTAACTGTCATAGGCTGATACTTATATCCAGCAAAAAAGCAGAAAATACATTTTAAGCCAATATACACCCTACATTAGTTTTTGAGCAATTTCGTTTCTTCAAAAAGAAAGAAAGAAAGAAAAAGAACAGATCACAAAAAAAGCTAATGGTTCTATTCCCTTTAATATACACCTGCGGTGCAGGTGTTCACTAGAAAACTCGTATGACCGAAAAATGGCCCGGTGTCAATCTGATAAGGCTACTGGTTGGCTATACACACTCCCAGGTGCCTAAGGTGATGATGACACAAGACAATGTCAATATATCAACCAATTCAGGCATTATCAGTTCTGCCTTCAATCGAAACAAATCACGCCACTTCACAACTCGCAAAGTGCATCGGAGTGTCATTTCGGATTTCCAGTTCTCGCCCCCGTGGCGGATATAGGATTTTTTTCATACAGGGGTTGGCTGAGACCTTGGAATCCGGGAATTTTTTTTTCGGGGAGGGGGAATGGGGGGGGGGGGAGATGTGCTGAAGTTAAGGACATTCAGTTACAGTGACGCCAGGCTGGAGAAATGAATCGACATTTGCACTATCGTACGACTTTTTCACGAAACTTGATTCAGTTAATTTTGTTTCTTTCAAGTCCTTATTAATAACATTGGTCAGACGGGACGGGGGTAACCACCCTAGACCATCACTCTTGAATCCACAGTTGCGCCCGCTTAATCCTGATAGTTCCACGTCCCATCTCGATTATTAATATTAACAATTGGCAAGAAGAAATTCTTTGCTGGATCCAGGAATTTGGTGATTATTCCATGATAGGTTAAATGAAATAATGTACATGAACAACTATACGAACCCTGGATTATCTAGGTACATTCATATCGGAACTACGTCAAACCATCAGCCAGTGATATTTCTGGCGCTAACACACTAGTTCAACATGCGCTGATCTACGCACTCAAAAACTTGGTTGTCACGGAAATTTGGAGCCGAATCGGGAATTTCCCCGTGTTTGTTTTCCCAAAAGGGTTTTCGCGGGGTTTTCGCCCGTCCCGTAAATCAACAATTCGTGCATTATACTGGAATGTTTAAAATTAACTTTTGCATATAGCTTTATTTGTGTAAATATTTGTATACTACTTGTGTTTGTAAGTATTAATGTTCGTAGTGTGTTGCACACGTGCACCATATTCCGTGCACTATTTTACTTTGCTTAACTTTATTTAGTAATTCGTAATATATGCAGGGCCCAATGGAAACCAGTTTTAAACTGTTTGGGCATACCCTGGGTAAAGAAATGTACATGTAATTAAAAAAACAATTTTTAAATTGAAAGAATACCCTTTCAGTGACTCGACGTCTTTTTGCAAAGTTACTCACCTCACTGACTGTTTAATTCAACGCCAGGTTTCCCGCCCAATTTTCATATTTCTTTTATAAAGAATTTTACCCATTTGTTTTTTTTTATTTTTCAGGTCATGACAACTGGGAGCACTGTGGCCAAACGACTTTACAAGAAACTATAAACACCAAGGGGAATGAGTCAGTGGCCATCACTGCCTGCACTAGAAACCTGCACGTTCCATTAAAGTGATAAAATGTCTTGTGTAATGCATGAAATAGTTATGTAAATCACTAAAATTAAGACGGCCCTATCTTAACAAGATCATCTTCAGAGGCAAAAAAATGCATAGTTATTATTATAACAGGGAATGGTACTTTAGGGCGACATTCCTATAGGGTTGTGCACAATTTTTTTTTCCAACTTTAATGACCCTCACCTCAATTTCCCTTATCCTACCCTCACGAATTCTGGTATATTTACTTTTTAGACCATGAGCAATCGATCTAGCCTATTTGCGACGGAAAATGTTGCCTCTAAACAGGAGTTGTGACATGGAGACATTGAAATGTCTCCTTAATGTCCGGTGTCTCCCTAAGGTAAAACTTATGACGAAAAATGTCTCCTTACAAGGGTAGGCCTACATTAACAGGAATAGGTTATTATGTTTCAATGATAATGTAAAAGATGTTGACGTGAAATAATAAGTTTCAACCGGGTGTCGTTTATATGGAATAATTTGTATACTCCTTCGTTCCTTCGGGTCCCATCCCGTCTCTTCATTCCCTTTGATAATCACCTACTGCCACACTCCCTTGGTCCGTAATCCCAGGAAGTCGATTTTTTTTCTCCGAGTACCGAGTACTGCCGAGTACTTTAATATGTTGCCGAGTACGAGAGCGAGTATTTTATTGTAAACCCTTTTGTGTTTTCCAGCCCTGCATGCTTGTGTGTCCCCTATACTTACTACGCATGTTTGATCCTTGTTCCACTGTCATTGTTTTGCTTTTGAACGATGTCTTGCCAAGACCGCACCGTCAGTCCAGCTAATTGTGTTGAATAATTGTCATGTTTCCTCGCACTCTTGCGTCTCAATTCTGCACGTTTTGGACTATTTTCGCCTGGACAATAATTATATAACATATCTGCAAGTATGATTGAAAATTTGGCTTTAGAATATTTTACGAGGTCATATTTCTTATCAGGCTACTACCGGTTCCAACAGAGAGCGTTATCAATACAATTATATCGTTAATATCACGTGACGGCATAGACACGGGGTTCAAAGTGTATCTCCAATCGTGATTGTAAGTGTATTAGCTGTTTACTCTTCAAATCTACAAAGACAAACTTTGGCTGAGAGGCTTATCAAGTGGCCCGTTGCCATGGTGACCTTGTCAGTAATAGGCCTGAGTGTACTAATTTTCCCAAGCGGCATCGGCACAAGCCAGACTAAATATATTTGTTGCATTATTGTTGAAAATTTGAACATGTACCTTTAGGCTAACTTTTCGCTTTAAATGCATATTGCTTTAATTGGCAACGCATTGAGTTCCAGTAGTTGCACTTTCAACGACGGCTGATAAAGTGAACGTCATTTTCCCTTTACTTTTCTTAATACTCACTGGTAATTTTTTTCTACCACAAATTTTATATTGTTTACAGTTTGATATTCTTTACAGTTTTATATTTTTTAAAGTTGTAAAAATTGAGCACCATTGTCTATATATGGCATGCCCCAAGGACAAAAGTTGCATATTAACATTCACATTATAAAAGAAAGATGCGTTTTTATTAAGTCTTTAATTTGGTAGCGTTTGTCGGGTTATTTTGCATTTACATGTACAAGGCAATCCAGTGATAATGTTTGGAAACATTTGGTAATTCGTTACTTTTGCAACGTTTAATTGACCTTCAATAGTTTGCCAGCCCGTAGATCTATTGCAATGGCATAGTAATAAATTCCATCTATTTCGGTAAATATGTACAGTGAAAGAAATGTGAGAAAATCCAACGTGCTTTGTTAACACATATCCGGCAACGAGTACGCCTTTAATATTGGGTGGAGAATTTACATGTTGCGAGCAGTGTTGACATAGCTCTGGTCATAGCTTACCAGTTGATAAAAAGTACAGTAACATTAATGTTTGTACAGTTAATGAAGGTCGGACAATGACGATAGTTGCACAGTACAGGATTGAGGTAGCAGTGCCGGTTGAATTTAAATGTGTCCATAGCTTCAAGGATTATCATAAGCTTAATGTCACATTTTCTCACTTTTGCCTTTAATTATGATCAATAAAATAGTAGAGTCGAAAGGTACCTGACTCGACAAAAATCTGGTTGTGTGCTAAGAACAGAGGAAATGTGTAAACACAATCGATACTTTTGCAAAAGCGATTCGCCAGTCACTCGTTGCCGCCCACGCGCGTGTTCAAAGGTTGCGTTCGGATCTAAGCCGCGCAGCCTGAGCTAATCTGCATCACGCATGCGCAGAACAGTCGTAGCTGGTCATGAGGCAACCCGATTGGCCCATTCCTGTAGGCGTGATGCGTGCGTCTGGACATTGTGACTTAGAGTAGCGAAGTCCGAATGTTCGAGGTTGGCTTATCAGCTCAACGGGTTGTTTTTGGGCAAGTATTGCCTGATAGAGGTCCTTTTGAATTGACTCAGATGCAGTGATTGCAGCAAAACTCAAATCTCTCCGTGTGAAGTGAATGTTGTAGGTCTTTACTCACAATAATGGCACATTTTAAGGGCACATACAAGTTGGACACGAGCGAGAATTTCGAGCCGTTCATGCAAGCACTTGGTAAGTAATTAAGTTTTACGCGTAATCTTGTTTTTTTTTAACAAACGCGAATATTATACAGTTTTTAATTGTAACACGGCCTTTTGATATAGAATTTCGGGAGCAGTTTACATCCTTAAAGACTTAGGCTCATTTTATCCATAGGAAAAAATGTATCCATTAAAATTTACGTGACATTTCCCTTGCCTTAGTAACAAGGCACAATTGATACATCAACCATTAACAAGGTTTGGAGCCGGCACATTGTCTGCGTCCTCGTTTTACCATCATTGATGGAACTGAACCGGAATCCAACGGAGTCACTAATAGTCTATTCTGTTAATACTAGACGTGTTCTCCTACATTCCATGTTATGCTTAGAATTGCAATGAAGTGTATATAATGCGTGTAGATAGGTCTATGCTTGTTTAAGAGGAAAGTCCACTGTAGCCATTATCTTGATATTCTGGCTACAGGCTATCATATCTTGTGGTATAAATTCAAAGGGTATATGTCCAACATAATGAGCAAAGTGTTGGCAATGGCATGCAGGCTCATTAATTTCAACCCGTTTAACACATTTTAACCCAGCCCAACCGAGACCGACCTAATCCACCCAGCTCAACCCAAATAAATCCAACCCATCTGAACCCAACCCAACCCAACCCAACCCAACCCAACCCAACCCAACCCATCCCAACCCAACCCAACCCAACCCAACCCAACCACACCACACCAACCTAACCCGACCCAACCCGACCCAACCCGACCCGACCCAACCCAACCCAACCCAACCCAATCCAACCCAATCCAATCCAATCCAATCCAATCCAATCCAATCCAATCCAATCCAATCCAATCCAATCCAATCCAATCCAATCCAATCCAATCCAATCCAATCCAATCCAATCGACTGTAGCCATTATCTTGATATTCTGGCTACAGGCTATCATATCTTGTGGTATAAATTCAAAGGGTTGAAACAAATTCAATCCTGTCGAATCAAGCCCCAACGCAACCAAAACCCATCCCAATCCAACCTAACCCAACCAAACCCAATCCTATATACCCAAAGAAACTTAATTCCACCTTCCGATTTTCACACAGGGGTGAACGTCCTCCTTCGCAAGGTTGGCACCACCACCAAACCAACACTCAAAATTGAAACAGACGACGGGAAACACTTCAAGTTCATCTCAGAATCTACATTTAAGAACATCAAAACGGAGTTTACCATAGGCGAGGAGTACGAAGACACCTCACCAGATGGTAGAAAAACTAAGGCAAGTCGTAATAAGAACTTTACTTTAAAAAATACATTACACGGGCCTTTAATAATGAATAATTGTTCTTATTTGATACTTCCTTGCAACAGAACGTCGTCACCCTGAATGAAAACAAACTGACGCAGCTTGAGAAACCACGTGACGGAAAAGGCAAAGAGGTGACGTACATCAGAGAACTTACAGAGAGCGGAGATCTCAAAGTGGTAAGCTTCAAAACGATCGTCAATGATTACGCAAAGTATCTGTGCTCTTTAAATCCAAACCATGGACTGTTTTTCTGCATAATTAGTATTCAACCGTAATTCTGATTTGAGCGTTGAAGACGTTTACCAATATTTTCTTGGTAATGCACGATTGTTGAAATGAAGTAAGGAGACCACAACATTGTCAGTGGGACGAACTTGAGTTGTATGAAACTAAGGATCCGAAGCTCCACTTAAAACACCGCACCACTCGGGCTTGCCGTACGAATGTGAATTAATATTTTACACAGCACGTTACCACTCAATACAGGGTGAGTAAAAAAAAAATTCAAATGTTGGGACCTTTCTTTCAGTGAAGTTCTGCATGTAGCACTTTCAAAACCTAGGATATGAAAGCCCAATTTATCAGTTTTCCTTTAGTACAAAAATCATTCAGACCACTTAGGCCTATGTACTTTTCAAGGTATGGAATTTTAAACACAACCACCGTTTTAAAGTTCTGTCCACGGATCACCAAAAAGGTGTGCGTTCTTTCAGCAAAACGAAAACAATTCACATACATTCCTATGTGAATTGCGTTCGTTTTGCTGAAAGAACACTTAGGGGCCGTATCATAAGTCCGACACCTCATAGGCCCGACGCCTCATCAGTCCGAAATGTCGGATTTATGAGGCGTCGGACCTATGAGGCGTCAGACTTCTTCTTGTGATCCGTGGACAGAACTTTAAAACTGTGGTTGTGTTTAAAATTCCGTCACTTGAAAAGTACATGAGTGGTTTGGATGATTCTTGCACTAAAAGAATGTTTATGAATTGGGTTTTCATATCCTAGATTTTGAAAGTGCTACATGCAGAATTCCACTAAAACAATAGTCCCAACATGTGGGTTTCGCTTTTTTTGACTCACCCTGTATTTCTTGAATCTTTTTTGGACTTTATAAAATTGAAATTAATACCCTTGCAATTGCCTTAATAAAATCCTAAATTCGCCACTACAACCATACTCCATATTGACAGTTAGGCCTATTAATAATCAATGATATTTTCCAAACCCACTCCTCTTGTTATAACAGACGTGCATACTTGATGACATCGTGGCAACACGTCTCTACAAGAACCAACATGTATCATAAGAATGGAATCACCAAGGAATGAAGTCATCGAAAACACCAAGATTCGACAGATACGAGGGGACATTTTCGTACCATTGAATTAAAACACGTGCATAAAAAAGTCAGATTATCATACAGCCGTTCACAATAAGCGTTATTATGAGCACAATAAGCGTATTATGAGTGTGCTTTAGACCAAAGATTATTCGAAGGATCACTGCCATCATTGCGTTGTAAGTTGACAGTTCACCGTAGACGTCGCATTTCAAATAAATATTTCTTGATGCCCAAACCCTGTTGACGTAGTAGGTTTCAGTCATCAGAATTCCCAATTCAGCATCCAGTTCTTAATGGATGTACTTTGGTAGTATAGGTTTTTTTAGGCCAATTTCCTAAAATGTTCATTCACTTCTGAAAATCGTTCGTTCATTTTCGTCTGAATTTGAATGCACGTCTTTAATCCCATTTCAATTTAACGAAAGTTCAATCGTTTTTTTATTGTCCGTGCATTCGGTTTTGAGAAACAGACGGCCAATTACGTTACCTGCGCGTTCATTTACGCAAGCATGCATTCTCGCGCTGAGTTCTGGCATACAATTTCGTGAGTGTGCAATCAAAAGTACGTTTTTCGCATTCAAAATAGCAGATTGCGTCCGATAACACTAAACTAAAAGTCAAATAGAATGACCAATGTTTGAAATCGTCCTCTAAAAGCTAAAAAGAAGTCTTGTAAGCATATCTGAACGAGCATAAACGAAATGTGCTGCTCAATCACTTATTGATTGAACTGAAATGGAATCGAGTGCTCTGGTAGCGAAAATGAAATGCGTGTTCAGAGCGATTCTCAAATTGGAAAATGAATGACCGATTTTCAGAAGTGAACATTTTAGGAAGTACACTACTGCATCATAGTACAATGTACACGTGGCCAAATCTTACTGAGTACTGTTTTGTTTTTAACTGTCACCACACTAATATTCGAAACGAATACTATTAATTTGGGTTATAATTTGCACATAAATGCTGATTACTCGCTAAAAGATTTTTTGTTTGTATTTTTTGAAAATGTTACAAAAAAGAAAATATTTTTGAACATCTTTGAAGTAGCCTATAGGTTTTATAGCATTGAAAAAAGCAAAATAACTTTTACGAAAATCATAAAGTTTTGAAATGGAAATGATCTAGATTGATCGATTTGTAGCGAATGCAAATTATTTCAATAAAGATTATAATGTAACAGATGGAAGAGTTCACGCGTTTTGATTCGTTTGTTGCTAATTTGAACCACAAATTCAATATTTTGTAATTATTTTATTATAACTGACATACAGATCATCACGTGACATACAGTATTACTCCCATTCACGCCGGGGCTCAAAAAGTCTTATCTGTTCTGAACAACCTCCGTAACAGATTCGAAAATACTTCCGCAATCAACGAAAAATCCCAGTCATCTTTATATTCTTGTATTCTTATAAAAAGTAATGTCAAAATTCGTTGTAATACTTGTTTTCATTTCTTTTAAAAACTAAACCATACTATATTAAACATGTATTCAACACCAGAGATCTATTTTCAAGCCAATAAGACACAGATTAATCTAATATTACACGGAGTGACTAACACACCTTTTGAACAAATAAAGAAAGACACACTGAAACAAGTTTTGATAAACGTCATCATGATTTAATTTTTCGTATGATTTAAACAGAGCGCTTAATAGAAAAAAGTAGAATAATTGTACACAACTGGCATGGAATTTCATTTTCATTCTACACTGGAAGAACAACAATCATACGCTGCAAAATCTAAATAAAAAAACCAAACATTTTTTTCGAACTTATACTCTTTAAGTGTGAATTAGTATAGAAAAGACGATCACACACGTATCGTTACATTAGAAGCGCTTAGCAGACGGCTTGCACGGTGCGCCATCACTGGGGCCAGTTTTTGTTATTTAAATTCAGTGACAATGAACGCGCAGTGTGTACTCCTGCGTGTAATGGTGGAACAACACTGCAGTGTCTTCAGATGTGACGTCGTGCGCAAGGCTTCAAGAGTCCTGTTTTCAAATGGCGGGGACCGGTATAAAAAAAAAGACGTGTTTAATTGCAAAAGTTTATACATTAAAGGTCATCACATATAACGCGCAATGCAAAGTGAGGATAAAATATACCAAGACGACAACAGGGGAGATCGGCATGACGTTATGTGACATTGAGCTCGTGACCCAGACTGTATGAAAGACATTGTGTTGTAAGAAAAGTGTATTTGAAAACTTGAATTATACTAAAACACGGTTTTTCAAATCTGATCTAAAGAATGATGTCCACAACATAACTTAGCGTACGTAATGTGATTTGGATAAAATGAATGATTTCAATGATTCGATCGCAGCTTCGTCCCACAGGATTACTTTATTTTCAACCTCGTTTCCAAGAGCAGGTAGTTGTGGGTGCGTACTCTCGACACCATGAGAACGAGGTTGATTAAATTGAGCTGAGCACATAAAAGTTTTGCACTACAACTGGTTACCTGGGAAACCATTGCGTGGTAATCATACTTCTGACTAGTCTTGGCACAAGACGGGGTTTTTGGTTTTACTCCCGTAACACGCCTAGTCCCCGATTAGGGGTACACACCCAGTCCTGTTTTAGGAATACACAAAACCAAATCCGTCTTGGATTAAGACTAACACCATCACCTCTTATTATTAGGATAGAAATCAAAGATTCTGCTTTTAACTCTAAAAATCTCCTGTGGAATAACCAATACCTTAGGCAATAAAAACAGTTTCTGGTTTCTGGTCTGCGCGCGCGTCGCCGTGGCCATATGCGCGTCGGCAAAATTAAAACGTTTTTTTTTTTTCAATGTAAGATGATGTCTCAAAACCGCCAAACTCACTGGTTTGACTGGAATCCTGCCGCTGCACAATTTTAACGTGTTTTCAGATGGGGTTACGATCGAGTATAAGCTTTATTTGGCCTCTCTGGGCTCCCATACATTTTGCACTAAATTCAGTCGGGCACCAGTTGCAGTCATCAGCCGACGTTTGAAGAAAAAAAAAGTACAAAAAAAGGCCGCGTTGCCGCACCACTTTTGGGGCAAGCTCCATACCAGAAACCGGAGCTTTTTTGTGGCCTTATAGATCAATGTTTAATTATTTAGTACAAACTGTAACATTCCAGAGTACAATAATCTACTTCAATACAAGCTTACAGCATTCTTCTTTAAATTCACGTACCATTCTGTATTATTAGTAAAAAAAAATCATATTGGTTTTTTTTTTCATATACGCAAAAAATAATACGACCGATCAAGTTGAAAATCAATCCTTTGGTTTTTGTGCCATTTATACATTATAGCATTCTTTGTGATTTTTTTGGCAAAATCGAAGCATAAGACCTTTCACTACTGCTGTATATATCTCAGCAACTGCTCTAAATAAAATACAAAGCATGTTCTTTTTTGTTCCATACACTACTGCTGTTATATTAGGAGAAGCCCTCGTGTAAAAACACATCTGACATCGGGAACAATGTCATGCTTTTTTTTTGTTTGGAGGCTGAGTTTGGGAAAAATGTTGCCGTGGTGATTATAACAAAATTCCATGGCAACAGCTTTCAAAAGTTTACATCTTCATCCGCAAAATGTTTGCGCTAAGCTGTAACTCTGTCCCGGTGTAACGCACAATTACACCGTCACATGTTATCTTAATGTACATATTGAAAAGAAATTATACCTTATTAAAGTTTCAACTAGAAATGCTTATAAAATTTAAGATTCGTACTATAGATTCTACATTAAAAGCTGCAATATATTAGAGAGAAGCTGACAGTTTTACTCTACTCATCAGAAAGTGATAACCAAGGCACATGCTTAACACTACGGTAAATTGTAAACAAAATTGAAGTTTGTCAACTTCTACAGAAGATCAAAGCAAACACTGGGGAATTTTTTTTTTTATACTAGAAGACACTACAACCTTTTTTTTCCTTGTCATTTACGTTTCTACGCCAAGCTTTTAATTTCTTACTGACATTTTTCTTTAATAATAAACAGTATTGCTTCTGGGAACTTCATATAAAAAGAATCAAAAAAAGTTATACAATACACATCGTTTGAAACACTAGCCCAAATGAGAAACAAACCACTTCACATCGTAAAAACTCAGAGAAATGAAAATAAATACAACCTTATCATAATACTCATAAAGACGGACACCTGACTTAAAAGTGCAGTTTACAGGCGAAAGCAACTATGGAAACTATTTTTTGAACATATGTGATGTGCTTTTACGAAAGCAGCAATATAATACAAGCCATTCGCAAGATTGGGTCGAGTTAAAATCAAACTATTAACTACATGCACTTTTCTGTTTTCAAGACACACAAAATAAAAAGAAAATCACTGAAAATTTACCCGACTGCGATTACAGTTGCTATAGCAACAGTAAATCTCACCTCAACCAAAATGTTCAAAATAACATTCTGTATATGTCCCACTCTATATTACACATAAACTATGCGGGTATACATGTATGCTACAACAAAAATACTGATTAAGTAGATTAACTACAAGTGAGTTTAAGCACATGCACATGCTCACTGAGAAAAGGGTGGTGTGGTTAAAACTGTTATGCAAACTCACCATTACAGATTGAAGAGGCTCTGTTTATGTCTGGGTCTGACACAACAAGATCGCTTTTTCAACAAGATTGCTTCAAATCTTGTAACCTTCACTTGTGTCTACACATATTCCCAAATCGTTTCAATTATGGCACCTTATCAAACTTTACACATCTACTCCAATCGAAGAGGATGGATAGTCTTTGTTTTCCAAATTATGCCACTTTTTCAAGACCCATTCACATATTTAAGTATAAATCTGTAACAGGCAATTCAAGCGTTAACAAAAAGAAAATGTACATGTAAGTCCCATGACAGAGCCACTGCAACTTTCGCGAGCATTCTAAAAGTGAAATGGTTTTGTTTTCCCATGTAGCCTGGTTTTCATTTGAAAAATTACCCGCAAATGGCATTCAAAACCTTTCTTCTTCGTTGTCTGAGAGGTTACCAAGTAATTTGCAATGTTGGTTTGAGGGTACCCGATCCCATAATCTGGAACCGGTTTCTGACATCAGCGGTCGGGTACTCGGGAAACCGGTTCCGATGCACGGCCCGATGCTTTGGTATTGTGACGCACTAAACAATAGACCGTTACGTTATACCCTGCTCCATGTATTTTGACCCATCATGCTGCGATAAATGTCTGAAATGCATGCAGGAAAGTGTCTGAAAAGCATGCAATTGCGTACGTGCGCTATGATGCGCGCCGCTAAAACATGCCAAGTGGCTTGAGTGAGGCGCATGTGTTGTTCCTCAACGTGGGCAAGTGGCCGAGGCCTTATGGGTTGATAAACGGAACTCATTAAATATTACACTGAATGTCAGGCAGAAGACAAACATTGCAAATCAAACACACACATAATGATGGAAGATAACGACACTTTGGATTTGAGGACAAGTATTCATCCCAGCGGGGTTTTTTTCGTTAGAAATTTGAAAAGGTTCTAGTCTACAATTGTTCATTTTTTTTCAAAAAAAGTTTACAAATTCATTAAATTCTTAGATTGGATGTTTTAAACGTTTGAGTACAATGTGTGCTCAAGATATAATATACACATGATGAGAGTATACGCTTTTGTGTTTGTACACTCGTGCAATACTAGGATAGTAACTTACACGCCAAATTTCATGGCCCTGCTAACCACAGCATGCCGCGCTTATAATCACCATTCTGTGCTAAAAGTGTTAGCCAAAAAGTTTTGTGCTAACCTTGTATTCACAAAATCCTGAGTTACGGGATGTATGCATGCGAATAAGCCAAAATTCCCTGCTAACCCATGAAGTATGCCAACTGTAAGCAGGGAATTTTCTGCTACAGTAAGCGGGGATTTTCCGCTAACGGTAAGCAGAGCCATGAAATTGGGCCCTTGTGTGTTGAGTGATACACGTACGTATTTATAGCATGCTTAGTGCCCTGAAAGTGCACACGCAACATGCATTCATAGTCTAGCACTTACTGGTATAGTGTCTGTGTATTCAAAGGTTAACTTGGTATAGGTTAGGTATCTGACTAAGACCAACAATCGTTCCCATCAATGCACAAATCATATCAGTACTCCGCGCATGAACACACCGCGTGCGCGTATTGGTTCGGGTGCAAAGTACGCACTACAAATTGTGTCAGTCGCTGTCAGTAATGCGTTCAAATATCCCTCCCAGAGGTCCCCCCCAACTCTCCCTTTGTAACCGTTGAGGGGGTACTTGTGCATGGAGTCTATACCAAATGAATAAAAAAACTACACTGATGTTGAAGACTGTAAGTCAAGTCAGACACTTGATCAAGCACATGACGTGCCTTGTGACTGCGTAACCTACTGATCCATTTTCCCTGCCAACTGTTCTTCCAGAGATGCGATCCTAGCCTCGTGGCTCTCCACCGTCGCCTTGAGAGACTTGACCTCATCCTTCAGGGCATTCAATTCCTATGGCAACCAAGACATTGGGGGAGAAAACGCATGACTTATGGTTCTATCAAATTGAAGTATGTCCCATCATTTCTGTGCGCAATCAAGTTTGCTTGACTTGAAGATAAGTTTGTTTTATAACAGCACTTATGCAATTTGTGGAAGACAAAGTCTGTAGTGCATCTGGGTTGCATATTTCAGTCTTGTGGCACATGGGACATAGACGCATGACACAGGGGTGAGATAAGGCCAGAATGAAACAAAAATAACGAGCAGGGGTCTTGAGGGTTGCCGAAGGCCCCAGTGCAACGTAGGGTCTGCCTACAATAATGGTATATATTAACCCTAACCTTCCCAAATCCTCCAAAACCCTCTTTGCAAAATGGAGGATTTTGCAGGGTTAAGGCTATAATGGAAACAATGTGCGGCTGATTTTGGAGTATGCACTGTGTCAAGGTCCAGGGCCTGAGACCTTGTGTTGTTTATGCTCAACCGTGCATAAATTTAGGCCTAGATTATACTAGAAATCCTCCGCACTGCTCCAAGATGTCACTGGCTCTGCCTCAACATATCGACAGTGATTGCTGGGGGATTTTGCAGGATTGAGGCAGTGGTCACCCTTCGAAGGACCACATTCAAGAAATAACGGATGATTTTGTAGGATTGAGGCTGTGTGTAATTTTTACATGGAGGCAGTTGGAGGATTGTGCAGGATTGAAATTACACTCCGTAAAATTAAACCGTCTGGCTGGCTGTCACTTAAAAGAAACGTCGGTGATTTCCAACGATCAGTCAATTGACTGAGTTTGGAGTGCTATTGACTAAATCATATTTCGTGATCAAAAGGTTGTGAATGGTTTTCACGACAAGTGTATGATTCACCGAGCTGAAATGTCAACATGTTAGGTTTTGAAAATTCTTCTTTGGATTTGGAGTGGCGTTATTATTAGAAACAAACGCAATGCATAAAATGCAAATTATCCGTCTTTAAACCTCAAGCTTTCAAAAGGGATTCTTCTAAAATCCTGTAATCTTGAGTCTTGATGGTCGAGTCCGAGTCTTTTGCCGAATTGACTTGAGTCGAGTCCAAGTCACAGAAATTGCGACTTAAGATGGACTTGAGTTTGAGTCCTGGACTTGAGTCCTACAACCCTGCAGTACTTCATCTTCAACTTGCTCTTGCGGGGAAAACTAATAACTTACCGAACTAGATACACCACTGGCTGCTCTTGCTCCACTACCGCTCCGCTCCTTAGTCAATGCACTGCTGCCGCTTTGCATCTTGCTACCCAACTTGTTGACGGTTGCCCCAGCACGGACGGTCTTCTCTTTAGCTTTGTAACCGGCCTTGAGCGACATCAAGATGGGATCTTTGTTTGCGCCGTTCTGAAACTCCTCAGCGGTCATGGAAGGCTCATCGCCAGCAGTGTCCGGGAAGATGTCATCTTGAAACAATTCCGACTGATGATGTAAACAATACGAGGTAAGCCTGCTCAAAATGCCTTTGAATTGATACAGAAAGGCTATTCACAGATCCACGCAGATGTCAACGCAGACGCGCATATTATCAAGGTAGTGGCTATTGTTACGGCATTGCAAAAACACCATTGCAAATCTATATCAACCATCTGGTTCCTTGACCTTATAGTATTCAACATCTGGATCGTTGGTAGTCTGAGTATCACCCGTGCTCCACGGAGCCCATCTCTGGTAGAACCTTTGATATATCTAAGCATTTGTGACGTCATATCGTTCCAAAATCTGGACTAAGAGTTTGATTGGTCAATTTTGATGCCACGTTTTGATACAACAGCTTGTACAAAAATGCTACTCATGGTGGGCATGATGTTAATGCACGCGGGGAGCACGAATTACGCGTATATAAGGCGCCCGCTGATTGGTCAGTTTTTTTTGTTAGGTCATACGAAGTTTAGTTGCATAAGTAATCGCAGAGTCTGCCTACATATCATAAAATATCATGGACTACACTACATCCATGACATCACAGCACACATCAATTGAATAACGTTACCTTCCGAGGCACAGTCATGGCCGTTGGGACGATCACAAAGTTGCTGGTGTTTCCCGTGGAGGCTTTCTCTATTCTATAGAACCTCATGACTTCACATGAGTTGACATTGCAGCCCCGTTTGGGCATGGATCCCACGGCTGTCTGGGGCTTGCCTTGGTAGGTTGATAGGTAAAACAGAAAGGGGGCCTCCTCTGTCATCTCGTAGTAGCGGATCACAGAGTCCCCCTATGGAACACAAACAGCACCATTAGTATAATTTCAATTGTTTAACTTTTACCGTTGGTGTGTTTTCTTTTAACTAAGATTCCGCTCCCTCTTTCTGATCTTGGAAATGGAACAACCAATTGCTTCATCTTGGCCCATGACACCAGTGATCGATAGTGCATCTTGCATATCTAACGGCATGATCAGACTAGCGCACCTGCTCGCAACAACGTCTTGGGAAATCTGTAGTAGCCGTTTAACTTTTTCTTTATTTTCTCCCTAGGATTTCCTAGGGAACCAATCAGAGGTCGTGTAATGGTTTACAGTCAGTCGCGCGCTCGCATGACCGTTGTGAACATATGCGCTACGTGCGGTGATCAAGCACACTAATTAAATATGCAACTCAGTAATACCCCAGCGCAAGCACGCCACTGCCAGTATCAAATGGATAGCCGCCGTTTTGTTAGAAGATAATAACACAAAGATCTAAGTTACATAAAATGGCCACGCCCTCATCACTGCAAATTCCCACCACTATTAGTACCACTACTAGTACTAAGATTGCTATGAAAATTGATACGCTTGTTGAGACATTCAGCCTTAGTACCCACTCAAAGTTTTGGCTATATCGAACAAAGCATTTTGTAATTATGATCAGTTCTGTTCTGCACTTACTACTAGTAGTGGTAAGAATGAGTGCATATTTCCTACACACAGTTAACCCTTTCCTTTAAGGAAAGTCGCCATAGGTGACTTTAGTAAAAAAATGTAGGGAAGATTGATTATGCCTCCCTTCCCTTTTTAGGGTTTGAGTTCAAATTTAATTTTTACAAGAGCAGTTCTGCCAGTTTTTTGTTCATCCTTTTTTTTGGGGGGGGGGGCGGAAATTGATTGGCCCTCCTGTCCTTACCTTCGCGGCAAAGTAAAACATTCCCGTATCCCTGTCATAGAAGATCTGGTTGACGCCATTTGAGGAATCCAACTCTTCATTGGCCAGTTTCTTACCGGTTTTCTGTATTTACAGAAGAAAAAAATGCCTGGTCTGTGAAACATGGACTACACGTACATGTAGGTACCACTTCATATCGTCGTGTCCGTGCAACAAGGTTGGATCTCCAAAAATGGGTCGTACGTGAAACGCGCGTTTCAGAATGTTAAAAGGTCTCACTTAAAAAAAACCCAGATGTACATCGAGATACGAATTTGTTGCACGGAGTGTATTCGCGTGAGATACAACTTTGTTGCAGAATGGAATTCCGACCTTGTTGCACTGACGCGACGGCATTGAAGGCTTGAGCAGGGTTTACAGCATGTGAATAATTCCATGAGTTTTCCCTAAAAATGTTCCAAAATTCCATGAGAGATATTTTCACCTTATCGAGGTTTCTTGAAAGTCAAGAGGTGGTTGCAGCAAAGCAACTAAGATACTGATAACACACAGGCAACCTGTTGACAAGCGTTGGCCTCCCTCCTCCCCTTATAGCCATCCTTTCCTCACCACGCCAAACTGTCGAAAACCTGTCCCTTCTGGGTCACTGTCATTTTCCCTGAGTTTTCTGTTATCGGTAGTGTTTTCCAAAATTCCAATTTCCAGACTATGTTGTATTGCTTGGGCAGGCCTTTTATGAATTCACTGTTACTAAACTAACCAGGGGTGAGATTTGAGGAAAATGAAAAATCCACGAAACATTTCAATTGGAGTTTGGGGACACAGCGGCCAACGCGTACCTCAGGGTATTTGCATATAAAAGATAAAGGCACAGTTCATGTTTGAGGGGCAAAAATATACGGCATTGATTTTCATCAGGTACTCAACTGTATTGCATATTAGACTTGTCACCAGTCCACCCATTACCATAAATAGGACCTACATTTCGCCAAAAGTTTCACCGAGTGAAGATTTTATCGCGCGATATTACGGAAACAGAAAATGCTGGAAATCCGGAATCCGGAAGACGGCTCTCTGGAAATCCAGAAAAATCCGGAAAAATCGCACCCCTGAATAACAAAGAACACCCTCTTAGATACATGCAACACCTGCGCTCTATAGACTCCATGCACAAGTACCCCCTCAATGGTTACGACCGATACTCGAGCAAAGACTGTTTTTTCTCAGTTTCAGAACAAAAATTATTGTGCCTATGCACGCAAACCAGTATTCGCCCGTGGTATGTCCCTCCACTGGAGCTTTCCAAAGTGGTCAAACAGCGCCCTCTACTGTTTGCGCACTGAGTCCATAATACACAACTGGTAATGACTACGTTACCTCGTCCCACAATGCATACTCTCTGCTACTCATTCTGCTGAAACCAGTCGTAAGGACTCCTTGCTTCGTAAATGCCACCATTTGTGGTTTGGTACCATCATGGCCGGCCCATTCCTACAAGAATCAACAAAAATCAATCTCAATCATGTCAATTACATGTTGATTCATCACAGACAACTTATTTATCGATTTATTGATTTCTTCTTTATACTGGGTGGCCCATTCATTCCTTCAAAATTTCATCTTGTGATCTATTTTATGTTTATAAAATACGTTGGTGAAGGGCAAAACAAAATATTGAGTTTACATCACCCCGATGCAAAAAAATTCCATCTTACGAATAGTTTTGTTGCAGTACCCGCTTCTATATCTCATTCGATCCAGCCAGCCGACCCCGACAAGCTCGGTGGTTGAGTGGTGCGATGTCTGCATTAGTAAGCAGGATATTGTGAGTTCGAGTCCCACCCGAATGTGAGTATACAGTGTTTAAAAAATACGTCGGTGAGGGGCAACACCAAATATTGAGTTAACATCACCCAGATGCAAACAATTCCATCTTATGAATAGTTTTGTTGCAGTACCCGCGTCTATATGTGATGTGATCAAGCTAAATGAGTCGTTTGTTGGGAATTTTCATTTGGAGATACAGGCCAAAATATGGCCACTTCATCACATCACTTCATCACATTTCTTGGTGTTCCAACTTCCATAATTTTTAAACTAAAGATAGTATCAGCATGCAGTTTTCACAGCAGTAATGCTGAGATTGTGCACTTTTCAAATCTGTAATAAATTTTTTTTTGACCAGGGTCGACCAACGACTCATGTAGCTTGATCGCATCACATATCTGATTCGATCCAGCCAGCCGACCCGGCAAGCTCAGTATACAGTCTTTATAAAATACGTTGGTGAAGGGCAAAACCAAATATTAGTAAAACGTTTTTGGATATTCGGAGGATGACCGAATATCCAGATATTTCAAATATTTGGCACAGCTCTCAGCAAAGCAACTTTTTTCTTTGCTGAGAAGCTCCGTAAATTTCAAGTGGATTCTTACATTTAGCATGTCTCCTTTGTGTGCGTCATACACGCGGATCTTCTTGTCCTTGCAGGACACCACGATGCGACTGCCGTTGTAATCCCAGTCAATGCCGAAGGGGGTCTCCGGCGTGTCGATCTCCACAAACGGTTGAACTGTTTCCAAGTTCCAAATGAGGATCTTGTTGTCCCAGGCTGCAACCAAAAACAGGAGTAATTAACAAGCGAGAATCAACCAGAGAAGTACAATATACAGTACGAGGTTAATCGGAAAGGGGTAGTAAAATAAAGGGAAAAGAAAGGGACATGTATGCAAATGTACAAACAAGGGGCGGGGGGCCTCGTGGTTGTGACTCAGGATATGGCATTTGTCTGATGGTCAGGGGTTCGAATCCAACTGCTGGCCATGTGTTACGTCCTTTGCCAAGCCAACCCTTACTGAACTACTGACCTGGTGTTTTACCTGTCACTTTTGACTTGACTGATAAAGCCCCAGGAGCAAAATTTAAGAGACAATGTCTGACATGCATGGGTGGGACACTCTAGTCTAAACCGAATTGCTTGTCCTTTTGGGACCAATGGGATCCGTGCGCCGACAAAAGAGGGCGCCCTTTTACCTAGCAACGACGTCCCATGGGCGGGACATTTCGCTGGTTGACGTGCACTGTTCCTTGTGTGTGACGCACGTACACCAGGGGATTTGTACTATGTACACGCAGTGGCCGCGCTTTGCGGCAAATGAATGGCAGTCAGGCAAGATGGCGTCGGTCGGTCACTCCCAACTGTACTCTCTTTGCCGGTGAGGGGGTACTTGTGAATGGAGCGGATATCCCCATCCACTTGCTTGAAAAGTGACTAAATCCAAACATACATACACTTACGACCGTGAGGGGGAGGGGGGAGGGAATGTAGTTGCCACTGTGCACAGTGGGGGTGGGGAGCCTACATGTAATGGATCGGTCCATTCAGTTCACATCAAGAAAGTCTTGAGTACATTTTGATAATTATTGGGCCATTCAACCGGGTTGGGACACAGTGCGTGTTACATCCAAATATTTGGTTATTAAAAGTATCAATGCATTTGAAACAATTCGGGCGATTCACAATGCAGTGCGCCACCAAGAGTTTGCCACGGAGAGTTCCTTTTTCCCAGTGCATTGTGGGAGATGGTCGTCAGATTCGCAGCGTGGTATATTTGAAATTGTTAATTTTTCCGGTCAGTGGTTTTGTAAGTGCATGATTCGAGTATCTTTTTGCCCTTTTCTTTTTCTTTTTATCAATATGGCATTTTTTGTAAGACGTCAGAACATAACTCATATTTTTGGCAAAATACATTCAAATGATTTAAAACTTTCTGCAGTAGTGAAACAACCAACAACAAATGTTATGTAGAGCAACTGCAAGCTAGGTATTCATACTTTTCATAATATGGTCATATGGCACACATTGTGTCCCAACCCGGTGGAATGACCCAATTTAAAGATCCGACTACCACTCACCAGAGGTGAGCAGAATATTTTTGGCCGTAGGATGCCACAAAATTTTGACGATCTTCTTCTGATGGTGATCCAGTTCCACCACCGGCATAGTCATGTTCTCGGTCAGACCTTCGTCGGAGATTTCCCAGATACAGACCATGCAATGGTCGTCTCCACTGGCAATGATGTTGTCATCAAAGGGATTCCAGGCCAGGTCAAGTACCTTGCCCTTGTGTCCTCGGACTTGGGGATGTTCGTTGTCAATCCGGCCGACCTTCAAATAGAGAAGACACAAAGACGATTATTAAAATCAACTAAATTGGGCTAGGTTGTTGAAATATTCCAACTTACAATGTACACACACGACTTTCAGCATGCTCAGTAAGAATGAAAGTATCAAGTCAAATTGGGATATGGCTAAAGACAATGACTTATTGCAGTTGTGAACATTGTATACATTTTTTGATACATGTATGTATACATGTACATTGTACATATCCATGTGTTATGTACATGTACATATCATCTACAACATGTACATGAATACAATGTACATGTACATGTACATATACATTGTACATGATGTTCAACACTAACTCCTTAGCGTCTTTTACTAGGAACTGGACCAAGTCCATCAAAATCCATCAATCACTGTGCGTCCAATAAAAAACCTGTACATGACATAATGGAATCCACCACTGACGCACTGGTTGACATTCATGGACTTGCTACACATGGCTTTTATCACAATAGCACTTAGCAGTACAGGAAGCTAGGCAAAATCAATCGGATACCCCTAGCACTGCTTCAGGCCAGTCATGCCATTAGGCCCAAGTCCATCATACTCCATCAACATTTAGTCACGCCAGCCCTTCTGGACCAAGTCCCCCAAAAGCCACCAAAATGGGAGGATGGATTTTGATGGAGTTGGGGTGGATAGGGTTAATACATGTACATGAAGTTACTGACAAACATGACAAAGGTCAAGGAAAAATCCATACATCATATATACACATATGTACATACATGTACACAATTGACACATGTTCAAACTTGAACACAGCAAAACTTACCTACCCGCAACTAAACAAACATGACAAAATACATGTACATGTGTACATGTACATGTATGATGTACACATGTACAGCAACATGTCCACTCAACAGAGGATAAAAGCAGGAAGGACAGAAAAGGAAGTTGTGCTCTGTTATCAAAACGCATGATGGAAGGAAAAAGAAAGTCTGACATGTTAATTCTACATGAACATGTACACGTACGTGTAAATTATGAAAATCTTTAAATGAACTCTCCTGTAGTTAGACCATTCAAAACACCTCAAAATCTGGGTTCCGGCAAATTGGAGGACAAAAAAATGCAGGACCTTTTAAAACCCTCCAGAATTTATTGTTACTGCACTACCGCACCTTTCAATTCCTTTCGAAAGGTATTGAAAGGCAACTTACTCAATTTGCCCACAGAGTTGTTTCACCTTTCGAAACCTTTCGAAAAGTTTCAAAGTTCCAGCACTATTTCACCTTTCAAAACCCTTTTAGTCAGGCAAATTTAAAATGTTTTGAAAGGTCTGATAATTCTCTGTCAACTGCACTGGGCATAGCAGGGTTAAGTGTACTTTATTATAATAACAAATAAACTTACAAAGAGCAAAATCTCTTTTAAAATGTTCCTAAAATAGTTAAAATATTACCATGGGATTGGGACCATGTATTTGCATAAGAACCACCTACATGTACTGTACATGTACGATGTACATGTAGGAAGTACAGGTAGGTGTACCCCAGGAAGTTTCACGAAATTGTATGAATTGGGACATTGAAGTGAAAAAAATACCCAGAAAACTTGGTCCTTGCATTTAGTTGAATACCTAAGAAAAGTTGCCTTCAAAATTTGCCATACTGATAGCTTTAAAATATATGGTTGATTCTTCTGGTTGACAGAGAAGTTACAAATGACATTGACACTACCATAATGCACTCGGTGTCCATATTGGCTAGACTTCCTGCATCAATCTGTCAATGGTTAGATTATGCATTGACATACATGTAGGTTTTGAAGATTTTTGCTGAATCAAGGAATAGCCGCTTTTCACAGCAAGCGTCTAAATTGTACGATATACATGTATGCGAGCAGATTCAGCGTTTAATTATAATGCAAAACAAGACTGCATCTTGACCTCGAGATTCTGACCATTCAGCGGGGCGCCTTCTATCATGTCTATCGGGTCTTCGCTAACCTGTTGTTGTATTACAAAAACATGGTAGCCAAATTTACCAATCAACAGCTTACTCAGGATTGTACATGTAAGCCTAGCTGAACTTCATGATTTTGATGGATTCAGGATACCTCCATATCATGCATACCGGTACATTGAGTACATGTAGTTGAGGGGGGGGGGGGGGGCTATGATGGATTCAGGAACTCAACAGTTTAACTGCTTGGCTATGTTTGTTGGTATTTGCTGTTGGATTTTGGCGGATCCAGGATACCTTCTAGTAAAAATACCCAAGGAGTTACTGGTCACAACACTTCCAAAATGAATGATTTTGGAGGATTGAAGCAGATTCCTAGTATCACTTCCTAAGGAATTAGTCCAAACCAGTTGCTCCTCCCCCATGTCCCTGCCCATTTCCATTTTATTCGGCCGCCTCCTTTTTTAAAATTAAATTTATGGATTTGCAATACAAAATGTAGGCCAAGTAAAAGAAAATAATAGTTGATCATCCCCGCCCGCTTCCTTTTTTTTGAGGCTGCATCAATTTTTTTTTTTAATTTCAGGCATAACTTTTTTAAAGATGTTTCAGAAGTTCAGATGCTAAGTTCTAATAGCTTAAATACTAATGTTCAATAAGCACTTTCAGAAGGTTTTGTGGTCATCAACTAGTAGTAGACAACTACCCAGAACTATCAAATAAAAAGGGCCTCCTCTTTTTAACAAATGTTTAAGGCACATTTTTTCAATAAAAAATATAAATGAAAAGGCCCTCATCCTCCTCATTTTGAAAACATTCTTAACCCTAGCCGCCCTGAATCCTCCAAAATCCTTTTTGCAAATTGGAGGAATTTGCAGGATTGAGGTTACATGGCCAAAGTGCGTTGCTGATTTCGGAGTACGCACTGTGTCAAGGTCTTGGGCCGGACCTTGTGTTGTTTATGCTCAGCTGTGCATAAATTTAGCCCTTGATTATGTACTTGACATCCTCCACACTGCTCCAGGATGTCACTACCTCTGCCTCTACCTCAGCCTATTGACAGTCATAGCCGGAGGATTTTGCAGGATTCAGGCAGTGGTCACCCCTCCACGGACCATATTCAAGAAATAGCGGAGAAATTTGCAGGATTGAGGCTACAGTGTAGGACCCCCCCCCCATATGCTATTTTTCCATGAGGCCAATTAGAGGATTTTGCAGGATTGAGGCTACATCCTAGCAAAAAGGCCTCGGGAGTTAGGGTTCATTGTTAATTGTTCATATAGTTCGGCACATTTGTCTTTTTATTTGTTTCCCCAAAATATGCAGCTATGTAGAAAGGGTTAAGTGGCTCCTTTGGACACAAATTTGTGTCAGCAAAATAGTCGAGGAAATTGAAAAATGCATCCGCCATCTTGGAAAATCTGCCATCTTGGGGAAACAAAATGGAAAAAACAAAATAAATAAAGCACTTGCCTACTAATTGTTCTTTACTCAGCCTTAAAGATAATCTCATCAGAATACTATGAGTAAGGCAGAGGGGGAACAAATAGGTAATCGTCTGGGCTTGTGAAAAAATGATGGAGCCAGGTACCCCCCCCCCCCTTACATGTATGCCAAGATGGCAGATGGGTTTTTCTATTTCCTTGACTCTTTTGCTGATACAAAATTGTGTCCAAGAGGAGCTGTATAAAGCCTTTCTTTGCAAATGTAGGAATTAAAAACAAGGGGGGGGAGAGAAAAAGAAAGAAAAATAAAAGGAGCTGGACTTGAAAAATGAAGCAGGCGGGGACATTTAACTGTTTTGTAACAAGAGCAACAGGTATATGTTTTGCAAGTTTAACCGACTTTGTGAAATAAACAGGCCTACATGTTTCTTTACTTCAGAAATCATTCAGAATTCTCTTTTTCTCAGTAGACAAAGTTGTTTCAGCTTCTAGAATATTAAATCATGACGATGAAGGAATAAAAACAGCTATGTAAGCCCTACCATGGATTGATGAGAGCTTCATATAAAAAAATAGCAGTGAAATAAAAATTATTTAAAAACAAAACAAAAACAAATTACCCCCCAAACAAATGCCCCCCACCAAAAAAATAAGCAAAAAAAAAAAAAAAAAAACCCCAAAAAACCCAAAGCACCAAACAAACAAGCAACAAAAACGAAATTGTCCCAGTCCTCAGCCAGCCGGAACATGCTGAAACCCCTCCCCCCTAAATGCCGGCCCAAACATGCCAAATGAAAATAAAGTATGCGAACTTAACAATTTTGGTAAACATGGTACAAAATATTTTAAAATAGGTTGAAAAATTAGGCCAAAACACGAACTAATTGTCACGATTGTAAGTTATATGATACTCAGATAGCATACCTCGTCATGTTTCAGCACCAGGAAGGCCCCACCACCGGAAGGCTTTGTTGCAAGGGCCACAAATTTAGGGTTAACGGCGCAAACATGACCGTCGGTCGCCCCGTCCATCACACCCCGAATGCCGGTGAACTGCTGGTCTGGTTTGCTGGGAGTGCCGAAAACATGGCGATATTTGCTCGATCTTACGAACCTCCCGGCCATTTTTGCACACTCAGACTGTTCCTGCTACTTCTCAACAACTACTTGGCTAAAGAAATTTTGAAAGGAAATCTTTGCGATGGCACAATTTCTGAGTGAAACGTAGAGCACAAAAAGCAGGAAGTGGTTTCACCGCCTACAACGATCGGGGCGTGGGGAGTTGGCTCGTCACATGTAGTCTGGATTCAGACTCTGTGTCTTCGCTTTTATTACGCTGGTTAAGAGACTGGCGCCGGAACAGCATGGACGCGCGCGTCACGTCAATCGATGAGCTGGATACCGGTACCGAATACTTGACAATCGAAATAAATTTATTATTCGGTTAAAAAAAAGTTCGATCACGTGGTCTGTCTAGTCTAGACACAGGAATCCAGACGTTGTTAATGCGGAACTGTATTCAAGAAAAGGGGAGTTACCTAGTACCTGACTATTAATTTAATATGCGGGATCTTTAAACTGGGAGGACGAGACATGGCCAGTGCTGCAAAAAGACGAAAAAATGAAGATGGAACTGTGCCAAGCGCACAGTTAACCATGCACTTTGACTTAGAGAATAAGAACTCTGATTGTGAACTGGGAATGTTTCTCAAATGGTGTGGCGATATGGGAATTGATGTTAACCACAAGGTCAGTTTGTGGCAGTCGTGCAGCAAACATCATCATCATCCTGTCAAGTGTCACTGTCACACACAAGTAATTGAACTTTGAAGTATATTTTTATTCTTCCATGATATGAAAATTACATTTTTCAGACGTCTATTTTTCGTGTAATTTCGTGTTGGAATTTAGATAGGCTAACGTGTAACGTGTGCAAATGAACCTAGAAATTACATGAAATATAGTCTAGACACCTGAAAAATGGGGGACTGCTTTTCTATCGCTTTAAAGAGGGTGAGTGTGCTTCTTCTAAAGCGTAATTAACTACAAACAAAGTCTAAAAATGTGAAAATAATGCCACACTCGACTATTGTGCTCGACTATTATTGTGTCTTTAACTGTAAAGTCAACTCGTCCGTTTACCAACTTGTCCATTGTCCAACTTTTGGATTTGAATGATTTCATCTTTATTGTAAGGTCTGTAAGAATTAAAATCTTCCCGAAAAGCAGGGACAAACTCGGAACTTGTGCTATGACTCACGTAACCCAAGGTTTATGTCGTCGAGTCGTACATACAATGGATGAGTTGGCAAACGGTCGAGTTGGTAAACGGTTGAGTTGACTTGAAGGTAAAGTTGAGTTGGTCAACGGATGAGTTGGTTCAACGGTCGAGTTTATACGACAGTCGAGTTGGTTTGAGTCGAGTTGGCAAACGGCCGAGTTGATCGTAATCCCAAACAATCCATGTACCTACATGATAAGCAGAGAAATGTTTTTTTTTTTTTTCAGTTTGTACTGTCTAGGATCAGGAAGGGGGTTGGGTTTCCTAGGATCAGGAAGGGGGTGGGATGGCCCCTTAGTAATGATTTAATTGAACTAGGCTCTAGTATGTAGCAGGCAGGAGTAGTACAAAATGCTGCGAGGGCTATGTGTTAACAGGCATTTTAATGTACGTGCATTTGTACGTTGGTAATATCAGAATTGGTTGGTGGATGGCTGCTTGTACCCTTTACTTTGATCCCTGCCTTGATGATTATTCCCGTTGAATTCTAGGTGAGAGATGGCAAGGAGGGGAGCTGCAGTCGTTACGGGATGGTTGCAACGGTTGACATCGCAGAAGGAGAGACGCTATTCGCTATTCCGAGGGACGCCCTGTTACATCCAGGCAATTGTTCCATCTCATCGTTACTGCAGCAAGGTGAATATGGACCCATTGCACTAGAGCGCCCTCATGGAGGACGGATGCTGTCGTTTAAATTCAGTGTCAATGAAGGTGCAAAGGGTGCGTTCGTTTAGCTCACCCGGGTCGACACCCGGGAAAGACAGACGGGTCAGCCACGACAGCTGGGCTGATCCAACGCTCAACCGGGCTAATCCAACGCTCAACCGCGGGCCATCACGATCCTCAGATGACACCCTTAGCCATGGCCGTAGCCACTGACAAAATGCCCGTTTCGGATTGGGTCTTTAGTTTGAGATTTACTGCATTTTAGTCAATTGCAAAATTCAAAAAAGTTGGGCTGAAATTATAGCATCAAAAGTTGCAAAAAACTCAATAAATGATTACCTTTAGACTTCAAATAAAGTCAACTTTTAAGTTCACTTGAGATTTCCGCTGTCTGGCCACCATATTTGTCCAACACATGACATGCATGAACAACACATGCGTAACGTACTTCCACCAGTGACTCTGCTCCACGGGCAGGGACCATGGTGGCTGACCCTGGGTGAGCCCGGAGAATGACGTCAGAGTTAATCGAACGGCATGGGACTGACTCGTATCGACCCGGGTGAGTTAAAAGAATGCACCCAACGCGTCTACTCATGCATGTCAAAGAGGAACACAGACCCACAGTGGGGGGCGCTCTTTGCAATGTCTCAATTAGTACATTAACTCTAACCTTCCCAAATCCTCCAAAACCCTCTTTGCAAAATGGAGGATTTTGCAGGATTGAGGCTTATTTCAAAAGTGTGTGGCTTATTTCGGAGGATGCACTGTGTCAAGGTCTTAATTAATAGGCCGGACCTTGTGTTTGTGCTCAGCCGTGCATACATTTAGGCCTTTAGTATTCTTGAAATCATCCACACTGCTCCAGGATGTCACTGGCTCTGCCTCAACATATTGACAGTGATTGCTGGAGGATTTTGCAGGATTGAGACAGTGGTCACCACTCCAACGACCACAACCAAGAAATAACGGAGGATTTGGGAGGATTGAGGCCATATGCAATTTTTACATGGAGGCAGTTGGAGGATTTTGCAGGATTGAGGTTACATCCTAGCAAAAACGCCTCTAGAGGGAGTTAGGGTTTCAGTATTAAAGTGACTGAGGTTGACACACCCGCTCTTGCACCGTCTGAAAAAAAGATCATGTGGCTTCCTCTTCTGCCTCTTTTTTTTTTTTTTCAGGAGAAATCGAGCTACGCAGTGGTAGCGGCTGGGTTCCACTTGTTGTGTGCCTGATGTACGAGTACACCCAGGCCAACTCAAAGTGGAGGCCGTACCTAGATCTTTGTCCAGACTACAGCCAGCTGGATTCGCCCATGTTCTGGGACAAGTAAGCTGTAAAACATCTTAGCGTTCTCATTCATTGTATCAATTATTTAAACTAAATGACAAGAAAGTGTGCAGTTACTGTTGGTACAATATATTGTGTGTATTCCACTTTCATAATCTTTTGTGTCTTTGAGAAAGCGTACGAGTTAAGAATGCAAATACATCTACACATATCACGCAGAAGTTTTGTTGCTCGTGTGAATTGTAGTTCTTGGTGTTTGTGAGATATATTTTGTCCATGATTCGTTTATAGAGAGACAGTAACCAGTGAACTGAAGGGTACCGGTGTCCCTGACTTGGTTGACAGAGATGTTGAGAATATACGTCACGAGTATCACTCTATTGCCGTGCCATTCATGGAGAAGAACCCAGAGTATTTTGAGTAGGTATTTGGGACTAAATACTGTAGTTCAACCCTAGTAAGCAGGAGGTCCTTGGTTCGAGTCCTATCCGAGCCTGTGAATCGTTTTTCTCACAAGCCCTCGGAGAACACCAAACATTCAATGCTAATATTAGAATTACATGGGCGAAGGGCAAAGTTCAATATTAAAACCCTAACGAAGATATTATTGGGTAAATCATAGGGGTGCTTTTGAGTACAAATGTAGCTCACCCTGAGCGACTGGGGTTAGCCCCGGGCCGTTCGATTTGCTCGATGTCATTCTCGGGGCTCATCCATGTCAGCTACCACAGACCCTGCTTGTGGAGCAGAGTCAGTGGTGGAAATACATCACACGCATGCGTTGTTCATTCCATGAAACAGACAAACGTGGCGGCCAGACGGCGGAAATCTCAAATGGACTAAAAAATTAACTTTATTGAAGTCTAAATTTAAGGTAGGCCTAATTAGTTATTGAGTTCATTGCGCCTTTGAGAGGCTATAATTCCAGCTCAACTTGGTTTTTTCCTATAAATGGAAAAGCAGTAAATCTCACACTAATAAGACCAAGCACGAAACTGGATGGCCGCGGCTACGGGCATCACTGAGGATCGTGATGGCCCGTGTTTGAGTGTTCAATTAGCCCGGCTGTTATGGCTAACCCGTCTGCCTTAACCAGAGTCAATCTGGGTGAGCTAAACGAACGTACCCATAAAATTGTGAGAAAGTACATGTAAGTAAAGATCTTTGCAGTGACCCTGGAGTTTCAAGCTTTCAGCTTATTTGTATTTTATATTATACAACGCCTGAATAAATCCCTGTTATCTGATTGGTGGATCGTTGGTTATTCATCCCAACCCACGGCCCGGCCGCACTGCAAAAAAAAAAGTTCAATTGCACGGTCATATTAGTTACCAGTCAGATGACAAACAAATAATTAACGCTTCGCCTCTGAGACTGGAACATTCCATCTGTCGCCTCATGAAATGATTCCTAACATTGTAATCATTAACATTCATTATTTTTGTACTGTTGTACAGTTATAAAACCAGTACAAAGTATACATGTTGTTAAACAGTTTGTGGAGGTCGGAAAAGATACTATTACTGGAATTTCCCCTTCAAAAAAATATATGTGAAGTTAAATTTTAAGTAAATATGTTCTAATTTACTAATTTACAGTTAATTTTTCTCTTCACATTGCTATTTAAAGTCTTAGCATCCACACCCTAGATCTCTACAGAAAATTGGTGGCCTTCGTGATGGCTTACAGCTTCTCAGCACCGAAGAAAACAAGCGACAGTCCTCAGGAAGATGGTGAAGACGATGAGAACGATGAAGAAGATGAGGACATTGATGATGATGAAGATGAAGCTGGAACCACACTGACCATGATGGTACCCATGGCCGACATCTTGAATCACGTAGCCAAGAACAATGCCAGGCTCCAGTTTGGTCAGACTAGACTGAGTATGGTGGCTACTAAAGATATTAAAAAGGTACATGTATGTGTTGTGATTCTTAGCTTAAAATTTACAATGGGGTGGTTGTGAAATGTCTGATGGGAAAGGGAAACAAACAAGTAACTGACCGACAGACTGACTGTCACTTGTGACTTAGCCTGGGTTGTTGGCTGGTGAAGGAAGCCGGGCAGTGCTATTGCATAGGATTTATAATAGGCTAAATCTAGCACATTGAATTGTGTGTACCAGATGGCTTGAAAATGTTTTAGTCAACAGCCACCCTCAATCCGTTGAATAGGATTCTGTGCACTGTGGAACCAGCTTTTACTGACTTGCCTTACATGCACATGTAGGTAGTTTAAAAAAATTTGGTAAGAAATATGTGAAAATGCTTGTGTCTCTTTATTTTGGAAATTCTTGATGAACTCGGTGTACATGTGTAAACCTTCCTATAATGTTCCCTGTGGGAAAGAGATTTCTAGTCACATTGTGCAAAATTGCTGTGGAAATGCAAATGGCTGAGGTTCTGAGTATTCTGATTATTGAGAGTTTTGAGAGTATTCCTTAAGTTTAGCTGTCTGTCCAGATATCATTACTTGTCATGCTTGTATACATTGTACACATTGTACTTTGTATACATTGTTTATACAGTGGAACACCACTATAATGAACATCGAACATTGCAGGATCCACAGAAATTGTTCGTAATAGCGATCTTTCGGTATAGCGATTTTAAGCTGCTGGTGCTCTGGGACTCACTGGGACTCACGAGACGACTATTGAATTTTGTCATCACACAGTTTTTTAGCTTTATTTTTTTACTACCTACAGCAGTTGCTATCCCCTTCTATTCCTTGGGGAAATAATAGCCACTTGTCATTTTGACGTTTTTCAACAACAATGTTTGGTACGTTTTGTACCCAAAAATCGTGAGCCAAGGATGATGTTCGGTACAGCTGAATGTTCGGTGTAGCGTGTTCGGTATAGCGATGTTACACTGTATATACATGCACCTGATATTTTTGTGTGACAGGATGAGGAAGTATTCAACACATATGGTGAGCTACCCAACTGGCAGTTGCTACAAATGTATGGATTTGTGGAGCAGTATCCCGAAAATATTTATGACACTGTAAGTATTCGATTGACTGACGCAGACGTGCTGCCTGTGTTTTAAAAGATAGATAGAGCAGGGGTTGAAATAAATACTGAAAATCTACAGTTCGTCGTGAAATATAAACCTTAAAAAAAAAGACAACTGGATGAGGTGCAGGCTTAGTTTTGGAGCCAAGGTTTCTAATGTACCTCTGTAATGGAAGAGAGAGTTCCATGTTGGATGTAGTTGTTTGTAACCCCCCTCCTCGGAAAAACCAAAAGCAAACACAAATCACTTTAACAAGCTGTACACTTCCCAGCCAGGGAGATGAGATGGTATAAAGAATGGTTAATGGGCTCCGCGAACATGGTTAAAAGCACTTTGCTCCGTGTTTTAAAAGTGTGTTGTAAAACCCACCGTTATTTTCACTAATGGCCCATAATTATTGGCTTAAAGTAACTGACTTTTTTTGCATGACAACAGGTTGACCTCCCCTTGACCCATGTGAAGGACCAATCAGGCTGCGGCGTGGATGGGGAGCATGCCCAGTCCAAGTGGGACTATTTAAAGGAGACTGAGGAAATATTAGATGACAGTATTGTCATTTCCTGTGATGGCATCTTGAACAAATGGGAAACATATCGGATATTAAAGGTGAGAATACATGGTGTATACACTTCACTGCTTGGGATCGGGAAGGACCAGAATAGGTTGAAATCCATGGTCTTATGTTTGTGGAAGATTGTGGTCAAGGTGGACGACGTATGTTTGGTAGACCAGTTGGCAGTTTGACAAATGTGGGTTTGAACCTACAGCCTTGATGAGCACGGTGTACAGTCTGTCGGCCAATCAATCATGGTGTAGAGTCTGTCAATGTGGGTTCGAATCCACAACCAGTCGATAATGGTGAAGAAGTTGTGAAATGGAGGTTCGAACCCGTAGCCAGTCAATTGTGTTACAAACTACATTCAGTGTGCATTTGTACCAACAGCATATTGTTCTGGTGTAGAGTCAGACATGTGGATTATTCCCATAGCAAGAGGATAATGGCAACTACTTTAATGTAACGTTTCTAATATTGTTTTTTATTCGTCCACCACAAAAACTGTCTAGACTTTACATCTGAAGCTCTATATCTTTATGGTTCAGTTGTAAAAATCTTGTAGGACTGATTTTACATGCAGTTGAGAAAAAACATTGAAGTTAAAAGCATATATACTGCCTACCTTGTGAAACTCATGCCACTTGACACAATCTTGGATTAGAATCGGACAAATTTATCCCTTTAACCATTAGCATATATGTACTACATTGAATTACATTGTGTGTTTTCACTGAAGAATCAATAAAACAATAGAGGGCTCTGGAGGTTTTGGGCGCTGCAGTGAGTAATAGGCAGGACGGTTTTGGGCACTGCAGTGACTAAAGGGTTAACTTAGTGTTGGTTCTATTGTTTCATACAAGTAAAATAATTGGAAGTTATGCTGAAACAATTCTCTGTTGACTCAAATCTGCATTTTTTTCTTCAAGCTTTTCCTTTCTTCAAGCTTTTCCTCTGCTGAACAGAACAATTTTCCAAAGTGGTCTTCTCAGTGGAACGGCCAAAGCATTCAAAGTTTTGAGATCATATCTTGCCTCATAATGCTTGATTTTCTCTCTCTTCCCCTGTTTGAACAGATACTTTCCATGACCCCTGCAGAGTTTAAGAAGCATCAGGAATCGTGTGCCAATGATGACGGTCTTGAAGAGGAAGAGGAGGATGATGAGATTGAGGATAACCTGGAGGAACTCTTTTCATTTGGTGAGTTTACTGTCATAATCCATAGACCGTTTCGTGGATACAGCCATTTTGAGGTTGCGTGGCAATCTTATTTGGGGCATAACAATAGAAAACCTTCCAATGCATGTAACCTGGGAACAATGGACATATTTCTTCTGTGATGGCCCTTTTGATTGCCATGAGACCACAAAGATGGCAGTATCTGGGAAAGGATAAAAAAAAAAAACCCCCGAAACCGAGATATTATTGCTAATAGGAAAAGAAGTATAGGGCACATGTGAATCAAAGGGAGATATCCTGTTAGGGTTGAATCTCCTCTTTAAAATGAAACAGCGATCGTGTCCTTACATTCATGGTTGACTGAGCAGTGACCAATGTTATGAAAGGGTCTATTTAGAGGCTTGCGCCACTTTTCATGGTGAAATCTCTTTTTTTCCCACCTGCCTTGAGTGGCATCCATAGCCTTTCACTCTGTGACAAATGACACCACAAAAACCACAATTGAAAAGTGGCGCAATTCTCTAAATAGACTCTTTCATAAAATTGGTCACTGCTCAGTCAACCGCGAATGTAATGACACGATCAGCGTGTCATTTGAAAGAGGAGATTCAACCCTAACAGAGGATATCTCCCTTTGATTCACATGTGTCCTACTTCTGTTCCAATTAGCAATAATATCTCGGTTTCAGGTTTTTTTTATCCACCCTGTATATCAGTTGTTATCTTTATGATGCCTGTGGTTGATTTGATCATGAATGACTGCAATCCATTCATGTAGTTATTTTTTAACTTACTATTAGGAAAAAGAAAGAAAAGTGGCCAAAAATATGACAGGTCACTTTGGAGCCAGTTTCAAGATAAAGACATTTTCAGGCCAAATGCATTGTTACTCTAGGTAAAAAAGTGAAGGATACATCAACCCTAACCGAACTCAACCCATCAAAGTTCAACAGCAGGTTTTGTTTAAAGCTGTAGTCCATCATTTGTAATTAGTGCATTTTGTTCGTTTGAAGCAACAAAAGTGTTCAAAATCTAATGAAGGATACTGAACAACTTACTTGATGAAGTTTTAGCTCAGCTTCAGCTTTATATTCTGAGAAAAACAGCATTCTAGGATCTCAATTTCAAATCAAAAGTTGCTAAATCATGTTTCGAATTGTTTTGAATTGCAGCTTTACGCGATGTCGTGCACTGATCCGACAAATTATAGCAACCGCGCGCGCCTGTGCGTCGTTCCAATGCTTCTGCGCGCTGCGCCGAATAACAAAACGAACTACTAATTTAAATTTTCCTACGGTGCTTCTTAAGACGCACTGTTGGAAATGCCTTCTTTCGTTGATTTCTTCAAAATGAGAGCTTGCCAGAGAGGATAATTTCACAGGGAGTTTAGTCCCCTTACTATCTTTCAACCAGTATGTTTTTCAACAATAATTACGCCAGTTACTTTTTTGGAAAGCTGCAAATGATGGACTCGGGTTTTAAATCTGTTGGGATAGGTACAGTACCCCTAAACTGACGGTCTTTTACACTGGGGTTGGCATACCTCCAGAAACTAAGTCCAACAGTGTGTGTGTACAATTTCCCATGTGGGTGTTGGAATTTGCCAGAATGGGTATGGTTCCTAGTAAATTAGGCTGGGGAGTTTGGGTTAAAGTAAGTTAACGTGAAAAATAAAGAGGTAGTTTTGACTTTGATAATTGGCCACTGACAAGCAGCAGTGCCTTGTACATGTAGGTCTGCATGTTAACTGGTCAGCATTTGTCAACATGCAGACAACCTGTGTGGCTGCATCTTTGCTTTCATAGTGTAAAAAATCAAACCCTAAAAACTTATTTTCCCCATTCTTTTTTTTTTCATTTGGACAGACGGCCTGTCAGCATTGCCAGCAGCATGGAGACAACTTCTCACTGAATGTGCCAATAAACATTTGAAATCTTACAAAAACACAATGGACGAGGACATCAAGCTTGTTCAAATGGAGGAGTCTGGTCCATCCACACTGAACAGCAGACAGAGGTATGCGTGCTACCTACGCATCGGACAGAGGAAGCTGCTTGAGAAAGTTGTGCAGTTTTGCAGGATAAAGTGACAAAGAACTGATGGTCATTGATGCAAGATTGTTGAATGTGTTTACCGAGTTGAAAATCGATGCTTAAGATCTTGAATGCAGAAAACTATTGGAACGACTCTACATTAACACATGGAGCCAATTAAATTGAGTTGATAGCCAGAAAATACCGTTTCACAAATGTGTGTCTGAAGCAAAAGTTAGCAGGATACATGTGTACCTATTAACAGTAAGAAGAGGAATGCTGTATGATCCATTGGTAGAATTACATGTTATGCCAGCAATTGGAAAGTGGAGGACAATAAATGTACAACATTGTCTTAAATGCATTGTCTCAAACTATTATTCTTAAAACCTTATAGAGCCATTTTTTAAAAGTTTATTTTTTTGTCATCTGAAACCTAGGGTGGGGGGGGGGGGAGATTACACCCCCGCCTTTATGGTATTGGAAAAGCAATGGCCAATTGTCAAGAAGTTTTGGTATGCTACATTGTAGTAGAGACATTCATGTTAGGCCCCCCCCCCAAAAAAAATAGTCGGTCTCTGGTCAGACCAAAGTTCCAGGATTGATCGGCGATGTGTTTGTTTTTTTAAGCTTGGATTGTACATAAAAGGTGGGTACTACTTTTTTGTGTCCTCATATGCCTTGGTGTCCTCCATCATTTGCCTTGGTGCCCTCCGCCATTTGGAGTCGAACTGCCCACGAAAATTTGAGGCGGTGCAGCAATAGAGGGTGCTGTTGTAGCAATAGAGGGCGCTGTTGTAGCTATGGCTGAAAATTTGAAAAAAAAAACCAGCGAGGCGCACGATCAAAATCGACACGTGTGCTGACCAGAGACCAACTATTTTGGGGGGGGGGGGGGGGCTTTACATACATTTTTTTGCTAAACCAGACATTTTTAATTGTGATGATTAACCCTCTTATGCAAACATACACTCTGCCAAGTTGTCCTGTCAGTCAAAATCAGTCAATTGACTATTTTTAACAGTTCAGAGCTCCCAGCCTACATAAAGCAGGATTGACTGGCTGTGACTGTTTATGTAACTTGATGCAGTTTGCATTGACTAGGGAGGGTTATTTTTTTTTGACTGTGACTGTTCAGACAGCAGGAGGGTTGCTTGTTCGTATTCCATGCTTCTGTCCGTAAATGAGTGTAAATGATGAGTCAATTCCCCTTAACATAATCTTACAAAGTAAAGTTCCCCTCCCCCCTTTCCCCCGGTCCTTTAAGGGCAAACAAACTTGTAAAAATAAACTCAAGTTATTGGATCAAAGTTGCTTATTTTTTTTATCAAATGCCAATATTTATTGGTAGGCAACAGGCCTATGTACATGTACTGTTCCTTATGTACAATATTGACATAAAATATAACTTGTATATAATAAAAATGGGAAGATGGTGTTAAAGTTTGACTTAATAAAATGCCGTGAATCCTGGGTAAAAAATGGTGGTAAATGGTTATTGATTGAACTGTACAAAACCAAAGTCTGCAACTGCTACAATACACGAACCATAAGGCATACCCTTTATAATAACCAGTCCAATCCTTTGGTCCTATTCATGCATCAATGAATGGCGCTCAAAATCATCACCAGTTTTAATAATAGGAGAACATGGTTGTTTTCGGAGACAGTTTTGTCCTTCAAAAACTGGACTTTCCAAGTCACTGCAAGTACATGTAGCTCCATATTAGAGAAACTTTGGAAATGCTTAAATATAGCAAATATATAACAACTATAGCTTTTTGCCAATTTGCTTGAATGGTTTGACAAGTCGGCAACGCTTCTAGGCAAATTGAACTGATGTGGTTGCAAAACTTTTGCTGCATATTGGATAAATGACCTCTGTGCGTTGTGGACGGCACCTGCTTAGTACCCAATCACAGTGCACTATTGAAACTGTAGGCCAGTCTCATCACAGCACACACATTTTGAAGGATGCTTTAACCACAGCCTGTACCAGCATAGACTCTGTGCACATGTACCCCCTCAACGGTGACAAAGGGAGAGTTGGGGGGGGGGGACCACTGGGAGGGACATTCCAATGCATTACCGGCGGAGCCTGACACGTAAAAGATGCTATGGCTTTGTACACCTTTAGAATATAATAAGTTGTGGGTATTTTGCGCGATACGCGCGTGAAACCAGTACGCACACCCAGTGTATTCCTCCAACTAGGGCTTTAGAACGTGGTCACAAAGAATCATCTACTGTCTGTGCATGAGCCCATAATTTGTTGGTCCTGGCTATGAGCTGAAATCATGGATGTGTTGTCAATAAACAGGCAGGCGTGCAACTTTTCCTCGGATCCGCTGATTTTGTCGTTTTTACGTCTCATGAATGCCAAATTGAATAAAAAACTGTACAAAGTCTTGTGTCGTTTGGAATTTCCTCGTTTTTTTCTAAATTCCCAGTTGCATGCCTGAACAAGGGCGGATCCAGGGGGGGGGGGCCAAAGGGGGCCATGGCCCCCCCCCCAAAACGAAACCAATTTTTTATTTTTTTTTATGTGACATCGCAATAAAGGCAGGCAATGAGTACACCACCATCTTTTCCTCAAAAAAAAATTGGTTAAAGTGGTCAGAAATTGCCTCAGATTGCACCACAGAGCATCTAGAATCCAAAAAAATTTCGGGACCCTTAAGCGGGCCCCGAACCCCACGCCGTAATTTTTTTGACCCACTTTTTGGGGGGACCAAATTTTTTTTGGCCCCCCCCAAAATTGTGTTCTGGATCCGCCCTTGTGCCTGAAACAGGGCTTCCATGTTGATGTAATTACTTAACCTCATCAACATTATCATGAAGAGACAGTCAGGTTAGCTAGCGCAGCAGCACTTTCCTCGCCTTCCATCTCAGTGACCCATGCAGGTTCGAGTCCTTCACAGGACAACTCTTAGATTGGGCTTACAGTCCCTAACTGATTCCATGGTTTTCCTGGAACATTTCATCATCTTTTCCCTGCAGGTTTCTTCAAGCTTCCAAGCTAAAAAGCCTGTGCACTTTAGAAGAATCCTCAGAAAGAATTTAACTACTTGAAAAATATGCATGATTCTCAATATGCATAGCTCTCTCGTCACTGTGTGTTCAGTCGTCTCCAGCCCCAAAGCCAGCACCACCTAGTTCTACATCCCCATCGTCTTCATCAGCGTCTCTTGGTATCCTCACGTCTTGATCTTCATCGTACTGCAACGCGGTATCTACGCTGATCAGCAGGTTGCTCATTGATTCCTCGTCAGTTGGGTCCAGGGGGATGAAACGCACCAAGCTGTAATCCTCAATCTGTTACAAAATAATGGGGGCCAAATATCAAAATTGTTTCTTTCATTATGGTATTCTAACCTTCGGCATATTAGCATAGCTTTATCCAACTGACCCGATGAAGTTTTAGCTCTGTGAATGCTGTATATTCTGAGAAAAACAATATTCTAGGATCTCGGTTTCAATTCAAAAGTTGCCGAGTAATGCTTTGAATTGCGCCCAAAATCAGCATCCGGAGCACGTTCTCATTCAGCTGATTGCAGCTACGCGATGTCACGCACGAACTGATGAATAACAGCAACCGTGTGCATCATGTCAAAGCATGCATGCACCCATTCACAGATTCGATGAATTACAAACCAACTACATGTACTAATGGACATTTCCAAAGATGTGTCACTTGACGCATCTTTGGAAATGACCTTTTATTATTTTCTTCAAAATTACAGCATACCAGAAAGAATAATTTCACAGGAAATTTAGTGCCATTACTATCTTTAAAAGCAAGTAAGCATTTCAACAATAATGTCGTCAGTTACTTTTTGGATAGCTGCAAATGATCTACTCTACCTTTAAATTCGGTGTCTAGTGTCTACTCACACATATCACTGAGGAACAAAGACCTGCACACAATGAGGGCGCTCTACGCAAGTGGTTTATGTCATCAATATTACTTTCCAGGAATCGATCATTTCATTGCATGCAATTCTGTTATCTTTGTATAAAAACCAACTAAAAAGTAGGCAAGTGCATGTACAATAGTTCATTTTAAATTGGATTATTTCTGATCATATTCATTTTTTAACTACATGTATAATTTGTGCATGGTCGACCTAGCCCAATACACATTTTCGGTTCATACCTCAGCTTCCATTATGTGGTTGGGATTATCGACCAAAGCATTTAACCCATATGTCCCTGTACCTCCCCACACCGCCCTGCCTGATACTCCATATACTGTCCCTAACCCCCGAAGATTGTATGGATGTATGGATTCATCAAGTACATACAGGGTGAGTCAAAAAAAGTGGAACCCAAACCCCAAAAAATATATTTCATATTTAAAAAAAATATGTAGCACCAAAAATAATAATGACTGGAAAGCCAATTTCATAAGCTACTTTTAGATGAAAAAAATACTGAAATCGCTCAATCCGTTCAAAGAATATCACCATTTAAACGCAACGACCCTAAAACCTTTCTCGTCCAAAAAAGCAGTTTATTGTGTGTTTTGACTGTTTGGAACAACAAAGAAAATGACTCAGAATACTTGTTTCAACAACTGTCACCACCTGTTGTGCACAATACCTTTATTAACAACCCCGGTTAGGCAAACAATATGATTTATAAAATCTACTTTTTTTAAAAGACTTTGTTGAACTTGTTTAACGTTTAAACTGAGATTTTATCGCTGGAGATGTTTAAAGACAATTGTGACGACGATTCTTGAAATCGCATTTTTTTGGACGAGACAGGTTTTAGGGTCATTGTGTTTAAGTGGTGATTTTTTTGAACGGATTAACCAATATCAGTATTTTTTTCATCTAAAAGTAGCTTATGAAATTGGCTTTCCAGTCATTATTATGTTTGGTGCTACATATTTTTTTAAACATGAAATATAATTTTTGGGGTTTGGGTTCCGCTTTTTTTTACTCGCCCTGTACAACGTTGTACAATGTAGGACAAGTGTAAAAGGGTAATAACTGGCATATGGCTACAAAGTTGCTTCTAAAGTGCACCAAAACAAATGAGGAGGGGTTGTTTCATTAAAAGAAACCCCAGGAATCTGGGTATCGCTTACCAGGTTTGCCAAGGCTGCGTTCAACTTCTGGAACTTGGGCGAGAGATGCTGTGATTCTGCCAGCAAAAGTTGTGGATCTGGGTCCAAAAATCTGCGACAAATAAATCAAGGTATTCAACCAAAAACATAGGTTGGTTTGGGATGTAAGGAAGTGAAAATCTTTTCAGAAAGTTTACTGACGTTCAATCTAGGCAGAATTGTTCTGCCCCAATGGTATTGGATTAATAAAAGCAGCTAGTTGATTCTGAAAAGTTGATTTTGTAAAAAACAATCGGCACATCTGTGGTTCCTGTGATTGTATTAATTTAACCCTAACTCCTTAGGGTGATTTACTAGGAACCTTCCTCATCCTTGCAAATCCCAACACCTAGTAAACTGTGCACATAAACAGTTGGACTCTGTTTATTTGTGGTATGCCTAATCCCACATAAAGAACAGTCAGTTTACTAGTGCAGTACTCATCCTAACAGATTCCAACAAACCCTGGTGTTGGAGTTTGGCTGGATGGGGATCGTTAGGGTTAATGAATCAAATTATCTTTGGGAATATGAGGCAAAATTTGATCATCCAGCTAACAGACTGCATTGCTGTTAATACAGGGTTTCATCACTAAAGCAAATATGTATGCCTGTTCATATAGCAATTAAGTTGTGAAAACTAGTCTTCGTCCAAGACTGGATCTAGTTGATAACGCCCTCTACTGCCCAGGCGGTTTGGCTGCACTTGCCATGGACCGGCTCTATTAGGCAGTCACAATTCAGTCTTGAGCAAAGACTATGTGAAAACCTACTTCTCAATATCTGTCTTCGCCTTCTTGCCAAGTAAGTCCATCTTAGACATGACATTGATGTGAGGAACTTCAAGATTGACCATGGTGGAAAGAGCCGTCATTATACCTGTGTGAAAGGGAACAAAACTCAAGATTATTTTAACAAATCAATTACATAACCAACACGACTGATGAAATATGAACTAAGAGGCTGATTGAAAGACAGTCAAGATCAGTTAGATATGACAAATGTGACTGATGTTGTAGTTTTAAATCATTTACCATTACCATTTTTTAGGGGTTGATGGGTGTGGGGAGGGGGGTGGGGCGGGGGTTTGGTTTGGTGGGTGAGGGGGGGGGGGTGGGTAGTTTTGTTTGGAGTGGGGAGGGGGGCTGGTGTGGGATGGGGGGGGGGGGAGTGGGGTGAGAGTTGTACCTTATTTTAACCCAAACCCTCAAGGGATATAATTGGCTAGACATTCTGCCCAATGCAACTACAGGGAAAAGCCTGCCAAATTTTACAAATCTAGCAGGTCAACAAATTTAAAGACATGACTACAAACTGTGACAAGACACATCAATGGCATTGTTCAATGGGACTAGCTCTTATCGTCTCAGAATCGACAGTTTATGCACTGGTGTTGATAGCCAAATGCAGCAGGGTCCCACAGATGTTACATCCGTGGCACTGTGTGCAGCATCTTACACGGTAACAGGCTGAATATTGAAATTACCAGAGAAGAACTTGCTTGTGTCGACTATGAACTGGGAGTCCACCAGAAACAAGGCACAGATTCTGAAGTCCCAACTCTGCAGGGTTTCAACCAACTGCTTCATGACTGGGATGTGGGTGTACAACTCTATTTGACCTGAGGAGAAGTTACTTGTAATGGATCACAACTACGTCACAAAGCAATCACAAGTCCATCACAACTCCGTCACAAGTCCGTCACAAGTCAATCACTAGTCTATCGCAAGTTAATCACAAGTCAATCACAAGTCCACAAGTCCATCACAAGTCCATCACAAGTCCATCACAAGTCCGTCACAAGTCCATCACAAGTCCATCACAAGTACATCACAAGTCAATCGCAAGTCCATCACAATTCAATCACAAGTCTATCACAAGTCAATCACAAGTCCATCACAAGTCAATCACAAGTCCATCACAAGTCCGTCACAAGTCAATCACAAGTCCATCACAAGTACATCACAAGTCAATCGCAAGTCAATCACAAGTCAATCACAAGTCAATCACAAGTCCATCACAAGTCAATCGCAAGTCCATCACAAGTCAATCTTGTGATTGACTTAGGACTGGATGCCTTATGATTGACTTATGATCCATTGCAACTATCTCATATACAACTCTGGTTACAAGGTACAAAGACAATTCAAACGTTGTCATTTTGTGACATTATCATTTTTTAATACTTTCAAAAACAAACTCCTGTTTTGAACTGCTTTTTATAAGATCAACCAGATTTCAAACGATCAAGTAATTTTCTACAATATAAATGAATTATGCCCACGAATACCAAAAGTGGGTCCAGGAAGCTTGTCTGTAAATCAAAATTAGCTCACAACGATCTCAGTTTTCCTTACTACACACTTGTGCTTTTCGGTTTATAAATAAACAGTAGGAAGAGAACTATGTTAGAGGTAAAGTAAAAACATAACAAATTTGAAAAACGATTTCCTACCTGGGCAATCAAAAATGAGGTAATCATCCTCAACGTCTCCCAGCTGCTCCTTCAGCCAATCAAAATTTTGCCCAAAGTACCTGTGAGAGATCACAAAAATACATGTACCTCAATAGAAGGAACACAGCTATACCACCAAACATTTGGGTTCCAACTTTTATGTACAATATACAGCAGAAAATCGCAATAATGACCAATGGCTATACCAATACTGGACCCTACTTTATAAAAATGTCGAAACAAATAATGTTCCGAGTCTGACTGAGTAAGGGAAGATGCAAAAAATATTTTCCCCCTTTTTTCAGGAGGTTGTTGAATCTGTGAAGTTAAGGGCGGTTGCAGCATAATTTGAGTTTTATATGACCGTTAGGTCCCCCCAAAAAGTCTCTGGTTTCTGGTATGGAGCTTGCCCCAAAAATGGTGCGGCGACGCGGCCTTTTTTTTTTTTACCTGTTTTTTTTTGCTTCAAATGTCGGCTGATGACTGCAAATGGTGCCCGACTAAACTTAGTGCAAATATATGGGAGTCCAGAGAGGCCACATAAAGCTTATTCTCGATCATAACCCCATCTAAAAACACGTTAAAACTGTGCAGCAGCAGGATTCCAGTCAAACCAGTGAGTTTGGCGGTTTTGAGACATCATATTTTATTGAAAAAAAAACTTTTTCATTTTGCCGACGCGCATGGCTACGGCGACGCGCGCGCATACCAGAAACCGGAGACTTTTTTTTTTTGCCTTACACAAGTTGGAGCTCAGCTATTTGGTAGGAAGATGGGAAGGTCTTCACTAGTACATCCATCTTATGAATAGTTTTGGGTTGTGGCACCGGCTGCCATATCAGATTCGAACAACTGACCCAGGCAAACTCTGTGGTCATGTTAGTCGAGTGGTAAGACATCTGCACTAGTATGAAAGGGACACTGCATCCTGGAACAGCCCAATTGGGCTACAAAACGCGCTTTGAACGAGATGATGTTAATCGGAAAGAACATTTAAAAGTAGGATATAAACATCCACACAACTATCCTTTCAAAACTGGGTGTTTTTGTTTTATTCTTGTGTTATGCGTGCAATATCGACTTCCGGGGTCCACGTTTGCGACCCCAAAAAGTCGGGCTGTTCGTGCTAGTTGTGATCCCAGCCATAAAATCTTTGCCTTTTGCGGACGTGTAAGAAACCACATTTTGTGCATTGGTGCTGTGTGTAATTTTATGTGACATTCACAACGTGTATCGTCAAACAACATGTTTTGTATGTCTTTTAAATAAGAATTAATAAATACCTAAGACAGTTTACGCATTGCTATTGGTTGAGAGCCCGTCACGTGGCCGGTCTTAAACGGATGATAAAGACATGGCTAGCTGGTCTTAAACACTTTTCCAGTGTCACATAAAATGTGGACTCCTAAAAATCCAGTGCCTCTTACCGTTTCATTGGTTGAACGTTCACAATCCTCACGTAGGCATGCGCAACACTACCAGTGAGTCAGAATTTTATAGTTCTAAATTCAAACGCAACGCCCCAGGTGCGTTCTGCGCGACATCGCGCAGAACGTGCTACGCGCGCGTCAATCTCCATAAAAGGGTTGTTTACTTCTTACTCGCCAGCTGAACACTCCATTATTTTGCTAGAGGGATGTTTCAAAAAGCTGGAGTGAACTTGTTGATCAAAATCGGGATTTTTTGAACGAATTCCTTGATTTTTTTTACCGAAAAGGTATTTATGAATGGGAATAAATATGTGCTCGGTCGGTATTAATCACTCTGTTTAAGACTGCTTAGAGTCAGGGTGCTGATAATTACCCTCGCCTCCGGGTCGGGTAATTATCAGCACCCAGACTCTAAGCAGTCTTAAACAGAGTGATTAAAACCTCTCGAGCACACATTTATTCCCTTATTAATATGAGACTTTTAAAACTTACTCCATGCAGAAGACCAGGCCACCGTTTGGTCCAAACCTCAACTCCTCATCAGCCATCACATCATCAACTTCAATCAATTCCTTAATATCTGGTGCATCCAAATCAAATAGCAAAGCGGACAAGAATATATAAGAATTAGAACAATTACATTGTCTTGCTTTGTGATACTTGTCAAACCAGTAGTTCAGTTAAAATAATCAGTTTCCTTTGCCAGAGTTGCTGACTCGAGTCATGTGACTTGGACTCGAGTCGGACTCGAGTCGCTATTTTTGTGACTTGTGACTTGACTTGTAAACACCAGCTTTGACTTGTGACTTGACTTGGACTTGCAAACAATGACTTGTGACTTGACTTGGACTTGCAAAAAATGACTTGTTACCAACCCAAGTCCGACGCTACTCGATTTTTTTAAATTGAAGTCGCCCATCACAAGGCCCAAAAGGCCACTCAAGGTGTTTATAAATGCAGTTTATAGATGCAGCGAGAAAGTTTCATTCCAAAAAATAGACCTCAGTGACTGAATCCAGTAAAATGAATAGTTCCCACTAGTTTCAAAAGTTTTCAATAAGACTGTCACAACAAACTACAGTTTTCAATGACCAAGTCTCTTGCTTAATGTAATGGTTGAACAAACTTTGAAAGGAACCTTTCATGAAAAGAAAGCATGCCTTTGTCAATTGCTTGTAAAATACTGGACAGCTTAACCCATTGGTAGGCGTTTAATATACATGAAAATTGAACAATAAAGTGTTAGTATACTACATGTAATCGAGTGAGTGAAGTCTTTTTTTTCATGTCATCTCAACATTTATTTCTACAATGTAAAATACATTTATTAAAGTATACAAAGGGCTAATATCCGACGGATATGTGATAAACTACAAGAATAGTAATTGCAACACATTGGAAAAAGGGAAATTAAGGATGCATGTTCAAAATAACTCATATAAAGTTAACGCCAGGTTCTTTTTAAAGCTGAACAAAATAATGTGCAACTTGACGTGTTCTTGGACAAAGATACTTGTGACTTGACTTGTGTTTAGACCAAACATGCCAAATGACTTGTGACTTGACTTGTGACTGGACCTAATGACTTGTGACTTGACTTGTGACTGGACCTAATGACTTGTGACTTGACTTGGACTTGCAAACAATGACTTGTGACTTGACTTGGACTTGCAAAAAATGACTTGCTGCCTCCTCTGTCCTTTGCAGGCCTGTCTGGTTTAGTAATCTAACTCCCCAGACATTTTTGCTAGGATGCAACCTCAATCTTGCAAATCCTCCAACTGCCTCCATGTAAAAATAGCATACAGCCCGATACACCCAAAATGCTCCTGTTATTTCTTGAATGTGGTCCATGGAGGGTGAGCAGAGTGGAGGATTTCAAGTACATGTATAATGTAGACCTGAATTTATGCATGGCTGAGCATAAACAACACAAGGTCTGGCCCAAGACCTTGACACAGTGCATCCTCATATTAATCAGCCACACGCCTTTGCTTTGTAGCCTCAATCCTGCAAAATCCTCCATTTTGCAAAGAAGATTTTGGAAGATTTGGGAAGGTTAGGGTTGTTTTTGTATGTTGTGCTGTCCATCATGTTACATGTACATGTACTTTAATCCAATTTGTTTTTACCTGCAACTGGCTCATAGTCAAAATATTCAGCGGCAGGGTCGAGATTGACAACGTGTGCTGCGCGATGGATGTTCTCACAGTGTCTCAGCATGTTGCTGCAATAAGTGGACTGGAAAATAAGGGGAAAAACCACTCATTTCACCAAAAACAAATACCATTATAATTGCTATGAGCCAAGAAAAAGAAGTATGAACTGCATGTCCGTTTACAAGTTTTCACCATTACATTTTGAGTCAAGACAAATGTGTCCAATTCTGGTTTTTAGTCTTTGAAAAGGCATTGTCACTTTTGCGAAACTGCAAATCTGAATTCTCCACTCTTCAGTTGAAGATGGGGGTTGGGGTGGGGTGGGGGAGGGGAGAGAGACTGCACAGTCAAGATAAAAAAAAAGAAAGCTGCAAGGAAGAAGCCCACTTTATACACTTCTTGCTTAAAGGGAATATACATCATTTGCTTTTGCTGTAATTTTCAGAAATGGATGGAATTGGGAGGTTGGAAATATATAGCAAATATAGTTACACTGACTTTTTGAGGTTTTGGGTTCGAAAATGCTATAAAAACCAAGAAAAACGATCATTTTCCTGTAGTCTGGTTCCCTGACTCCATATAAGAAGGAAAAAGAGCAGTTTACATACATTGGGGAATTGTAAGGTCAGGGAACCAGTCTAGCTGGCTCGTACCCGTTCATAGGTTTGTAATCGATTGCAAACAAGTGCGATGGTCAATTGGGGCCGGTATTTGAAAAAAAGCCAGTTGTTTCCAACGCTGATCGGCCGATCAGCGTTGGAAATTGATACAAAAATACCACTTTTCTTGAAAATGACAGTATACCAGGTGCCATGATTTTACAGGATGCTTTACACTGTCATTCACTAACAGTCCAGCAAGGTATTTCAAAATGATTTGGTAGTTTTATTTTTTGATGTTTGCAAATGTTGTATTTTCCCTTTAAACAACAATTGTGCTACTCATTTTTTTTTTGGGGGGGGGGGGGAGTAATTTTATTAAGGCGGTGGATAATTGCCAGTGAAAGTTTTCTTTTGGTAAACATTATTTCCATGGATGCTTTCTTCGATTGGCTAATAAATACCAGTCATGCTGGCCTTCTTTTAGTAAACATTAGTTTGCCGGTGGTCATGTTTGATTCCTGAGGCAAATTAGTTTTTACTTAAAGAAAACTGGTGTCGGCCAAATATCTAGTGCAATTTTTTTAATACTTTACTTTTTCTTGGTTCAGTAAACTGCTGTTTTATAATCCTACCGTACCTTTCCACTGCCAGCTGGGCCAATAACCAACTGTGCATAGCGTGGCATCTTGTTTTCTTTAATAGGCACTGATCAAAGTACCAAATGTGAGGTGCAAATCTGTAAGAAAAAAGATATTGAAATCAAGTATGAAACTTCTCAAAAAAGAATTTAATTTCAAACAAATAACTAACACGATGGCGGCTATCGTTTCGGGCAGTCAACTCTCTGTTTCCCTGACCTGACAATATTCAACATCAGGACCTTTGATCCTTGGAACCGGACTATCTGTCGTCCAAAGACACGGATTGCTAAGAAAACAGTTTAAATCTAACGTTATTTCAATAAAAAGTAGGATTTGATTATAAACATAAAGGTAAAACAAATTAAAAGAACAAAACTAAAGAACATGTACAGGTACAGGTGTAGTGCAGATTCCATCCCCGGACCTTCAACATTGTTCAACAAGGTAGTCGAACGTTTAAGGGTTTTTGCAATGCCTGAACGATAGTAATTGAAAATCGCCCTAGGACTGCTGTATTAACGATAGCCACTACGAATAAATACATGTAGGTAGGCCTATCACAATTAAGAATAACAAGATTCATCACGTGAAGCCTTACGTTTGTCCGAAAATTTGGGACTCTCATACTACATCAAAAGGAAAGGATGGGTCCCCAAGAGTAAGACCAGTAAATCCTGACCCTAACCACTAAACCACTTTTTTAAAGAATGGTTTGGCAGTTCAAGTTAGAGCCAGGCCTAGGCTTAGCCTGTATACAATGTATTTATGGCTCTCTTGGGAGTGAGTCTTGGATTTAAAAAACCCCAAATAAGGCCAAGTAAAAAAAAAACCATGTTTCTCGTCCAGGTTTTTGAAAAAAAGGAGGAAGCGGGGCATTTTATTTTTTATTTTTTATTTGTTTCAACTGTTCAAGATGGCCGTCATTTAAAAATGTCCTGCAACCGTTGGTGTTTCCACTGTTCAAAGACACTTTTAAAATGAAAGATAAGTTGGACAAGAGAACTGAACATATTTACAGTGTCATCTAGACTTGTATTGGTCTACAATTTATTTTCCGATAAATTTGTGGACTTTTCCGGTGTTTTTTTACTGCATTTTTCAAAAATAAAACGCAGTGGCTATTGTTACGGCAGCCGTAACGCATTTCCCATTTTCTATCGTTGCGGTAGACTGCAACCTGGCAACTTTTATAAAAAAACATGACAAGAAAATATAAAATTAGAAGGAAAAAAGTGAATTTGAACTTTATGAAATTCGGACTTTATTTCCCTTTTAAAAAAAATCCTCCAAAGCCTCAGGTTAGAAAAGGAAAAAAATTCGAGTGCAAAACTGAGATTCGAACCCGCAACCTCGCGGTGCAAAATCCTACCCTCTATCGGCTGAGCTGGCGCACTGCTCGATAAAACGTGGAGAAACAAATAATTATATACCCGCGTGCGTATCAAAAAAATATCGTAGAGGGCGCTAAACAACGAGTGCCGTAACGATAGCCACTTCGAAAAAATAAAAAATAATAAAAAAATCCAGACCAGGCGGCCTCCAACAAGGAAGCGGGCGGCCTAAATTTAGACATGGTGAAATCCTATAGTTTATCACAGCATACGTTGAACATGTTTTAAACCTGCTTTACGACCTAGTATATATACCTGAAAAGTTCAAAGACCTGTGTGTGTGATGGAAACGGTGTACAACATCGTGCATGCCATGGGCGCAGCCATATTGGATTCGAGAGCAATTGCATTATGGGAATCTGTGATCACGTGGTACAAGGAAGTGGTGTGGTTCACTTCCGCCTTGTATTTTGTAGGCGGTGTGTACGTGTGGAGTCAGTGTTGCTGTGTAGTTCGTTTGCACTGTTTCTTTGGTGTTGTTGGATGAGGAAGCAATCAACTAAATAATTCAAAATGCCGGTGAGATTATTTGATGAATTTAAAATTAAAGATAAAATATGTTGTGCGAATATCTTCTGTCATCTGCTGTCCAATTTGAGATCAGAATTTATGTGCCCCAAAAAACTTTGTGTTGATCATGGGGCCTCCACCATCTGACCAGTATTTTATACACACTACACTGAGTGAGATTCTCAGTGAGAACAGTCGTGTCAGTACATCATGTACAAACATGACAAATACATGTATATCATTACATTGAGAAATTCAGATTTGTGCAGTGACCAGTAAAATGTTTGTGAAGCCTGGCATTTATGAACATATAGGCCTATTACTATTTTTAATTGTTCATAGATTTTTGGGGATATATATATTTTTTTGGGGGGGGGGGGGCCGGGGGGGGGTGCCTTTGACAAAGATCCTGCTAGGATAAAAATGTTAGGCCGTCCAATTTTGTTTGAGTTGTTTTACTTTATGGCTGGATCTTGTCCCCCAAAATGTTTGTAAATAAAGCCGAGTAAACAACTTTTATGTAGTTTAATTCTCGTGTCCCAAGAGCTACATGTACATGTGTATAACCCTTTCTTCATACATGTAGCTAGTTCTGTTGGAAACAAATAGAAAGTCACAATATTGATGTGCGAATGTATTAATTATTCATAGGGAAGAAAAGTACTTTTGAAAATTTTCTAAATATTTCAGCATGTTCAGAACTGAAAATTTACTTATTTTCTCCATATTTACGTACAATGACTGCGTTCTATCCAAAATAATGTGTTATAGCCCAGTGTTATTTGAGAAGGAGTAACATTTAAAGTTTTGTTTAAAAATAATATTTACAGTATATATGTTAATATGACTGCATACACTAAGAACGTATTGGGTTAACATTTCATCATGGTGCTTTAAAGATATCCCATGCTCTTCCATTCAACAACAAAAATTCTCCTAATGAATTTTCAATTTGATGTTTTGTTTTAAATGAAAAAACTACTTTATTCCGATTTTGGACACCTGCAATCCTCTAAAAAAAGGAATTTCCTTTTGTGCCAAAATGAATCCGACCTGCGATAGCCGAATTATTGTCTGGTAGCCAATAATTGGATTTTTATGAAGAACTGATTCAATAACTAAACTTTGGTGGATTTTTTTTTAAGTTAATGTTTCATTCAAAAGCAAATGACTTATACTAGAAAACTAGCAATTGAACAAACAAAAAAAGCAAATCTTTTTTCGAGGTGAAACTCAAAAATAGCATGGGGAACGCATCTTTGACTTAGTAGTTACTGCATCACCCCACACCGTCGTTTACTCCCTGTACTGCCCCAAACTGCCCATGAATTCATCAGGGAATAAATACATGTACAGTGTCAAACAATGCAGCACAGACCTGTTCTAATTTGTTAATTGATCTTGCCTGATTTTGCAGTCAAAATTTAAGTTGGATCAGTGAGTTAGTAAATTACATATATTACAATTTGAATTAAATTTCCACCACATCTTATTCATTACAGGCTTATCATTCGTCGTTGAGTGCCCCCACTAAATTGGGCAACATGGCACTTCTTCCAATCAACACAAAGTTCAAAGGACCAAGCCCCCCTGGTAAGCTTGATAGTGCTGAATGGGTTCAGTTATTTGAAATGAGAAATGACCATCTTGAGCGGGATACAAAAAAAGAAACGCAAACATTAAAATATGCCATTGTTCAATTAGGCCACAAAAAAAAAGGCTCCAGTTTCTGGTATGCGCGCGCGTCGCCGTAGCCATGCACGTCGGCAAAATGAATTTTTTTTTTTTTTCAATAAAAGCTGATGTCTCAAAACTGCCAAACTCACTGGTTTGACTGGAATCCTGCTGCTGCACAGTTTTAACGTGTTTTTAGATGGGGTTATGATCGAGAATAAGCTTTATGTGGCCTCTCTGGACTCCCATATATTTGCACTAAGTTTGGTCGGGCACCACTTGCAGTCATCAGCCGACATTTGAAGCAAAAACAAACAGGTAAAAAAAAAAAAAAGTCGCGTCGCCGCACCATACCAGAAACCGGAGACTTTTTTTTTTGGCCTTATGTTTTTAAGTTTATTTTCCATTTGTATAATATCTGAAGAGTGAATATTTTGTTTCTTTATTTTTGAAGGTGATGGTGGGCCCGATATTATTGACGAGGCACTGCAATACTTCAAGGCCAACGTCTTCTTCCGAACCTATGAAATTAAGGTTTGATTTTTTTCCTTCTTTGCTCTGGGGGAAGCAACCACATGGCCAAATTATTATCAATCATTTGTGTCAATTAATTGTTTCAAACACCAAGAATTCTTAACCTCTGAATTAGTGATTGTACTCTAGTTACTTAAAGGAAATATACAACATTTGCTTTTGCTGTATTTTCAGAAATTGATGGATTTGGGGGTTAATATTTTATTGCAACCATTGTTACGTTGACTTGTTTGACGTTTTGTGTTCGTATATGCTTGAAAATCAAGAAAAACAATCATGTTCTTGTAGTCTGGTTCCCTGACCCCACTTAAGATGAAACGGAGCAATTTGTAGATGTCGGGGAATTGCAAGGTCAGGGAACCAGTCTATATGTAGCTTGTTCCCATTGATAGGTGTGTAATCAATTGCAAACAAAATACGGACTAACTAATTATGGTAAATTGGGGGCAGTATTTGCAAAAAAACCCAGTTTTTTTCCAATGCTGGTTGGCCGACCAGCGTTGGAAAATGATATAAATATACCACTTTTCTTGAAAATGTCAACACGCCAGGTGCCACGATTTTACAGGATGCTTTAGACTGTCATTCACTAACAGTCCAGTAAGGTATTTCATAATAATTTAGTACACATGTAGATGTTTGCAAATGTTGTATATTCCCTTTAATAGGATATTCGCGTTGAAGTGATAGGCCCTAATGTTAATCTTTTTTTGTTACTTCCAAGATGTTGGATGACAAATCAAAAAACCCACGTCACAAAGAGAAAGAGTGTTTTTTTTTAACATACTTAAAATTGACAGGCATAGTCACGTTGATTCAGAGGTAGAAAACATAATTCTAGAACAAGTTGAGTGTTTCCTGTTCCAATGTGACGTCCGTCTGCCTATCATTTGTAAATGTTTGAAAAATTCATTTTTGAAAATCAGTGGAAAAGTTGGAGGTGAGCCTGCCACAGTGTTATGCCTGAGATTTTCAAGACACTATTAGCTCATGTTTGTAATTTTGGAAATCTTATTTGAGATGTATTTAGCATTTAGGGAGAGATATGGAATTCTGAAAAAAAATTCCAGGGGTCGTCTCACAGTCCTCTTCATATACTCATTTTGATGCAAGGAAAAAAAAAAAGATTGCCAGATTTTTTTGGAAAAAAAATGTGGCATCCTGACATCACTTTTTTTCATCATATATTATCTCAATGAAGGTCAGTCATTGCAAAACATGTTGAAAAGACCTGAATCTGGGACTGAGAAACATTTCCAATTTTGTTAGGAAATACTTAGAAAATTTTCTTGACTCTCCATAGACTTTGTACACAACCAAAGAAGTGGCCTTTAGATACTGCATTATTTTTCTTTTTTTTTAAATCAGAATTTCGTTATTCTTTCCAAAGTTGTGAGTTTTCATAAAATCATGGAAACATGTTTATCTGTTTTTGTGTGTGGTTTTTTTTATCAGAGTGAAGCAGACCGCGTTCTCATCTACATCACACTTTACATCACGGAGTGCCTCAAGAAACTGCAGAGGGTAACTTGTCTTTTCTCCTTGCATTGAAACCAAGACTGGAAGGTCAAACATTAACCCTAACCTTCCCAAATCCTCCCAAATCCTCTTTGCAAAATGGAGGCTTTTGCAGGATTGAGGCTATGTGGCAAAACTGTGTGGCTGAATTTGAAGAATGCACTGTGCGGTCAATTAGGCCGGGCCTTGTGTTGTTTATGCTCAGCCATGCATAAATTTGGGCCTAGATTATACTTGAAATCCTCCGCACTGCTCCAGGATGTCACTGGCTCTGCCTCAACATATTGACAGTGATTGCTAGAGGATTTTGCAAAACTGAGACAGTGGTCACTCCTCCAAAGACAACATTTAAGAAATAACGGAGGATTTTGGAGGATTGAGACTTTATGCAATTTTTACATGAAGGCAGTTGGACAAATTTGCATGATTGAGGTAACATCCTAGCAAAATCTAGGACCTACATGTAGCTAAAAAAAACCTAGCTAACCCTAACCCCCAAAAAGTTCATTTCAGGTTAAGTACCACATACTACGCAATACTACAAAAAGTATTGATGTAGGTACCAAATACCAGAAAATACTATGAGTACTGTGCCCACTTATATGATGAAGTACTGCATAGTACATTTTAATAATCATTTTGTATTTTGTAACTTAAGGTGAGGTCCAGGCTAGGCAATTCCAAATTAAAATTTTAAAAAGATGATTTATGTGTTCGAATATATAATGGAGAAATAGGTCAGTTTTGGGTATTTTTGATATAAATATTCTGAATTCAGAGGAATAATAAAACTGTCAACTCTCCGATTTCATTCCTTTAAAGGAATGATTGCATAGCCGTTATTTTTTGAATTTGTAAGGTGTTCAGTTTTTATTTTGTATTTCTTTATTCTAGTGCACATCTAAGGAAGCTGGCAAAAAGGACATGCACAGTCTGGCTATCGCAAACTTTGCCATTCCAGGCGAGCCAATGTTTCCACTGAACGCCATGTACCAAAAAGCTACAAGCAAGGCCGAAGCAGGTAAATGTAGTCCGGAGTTCCCTCAGTTTTGCCCAAGTCTTTCCCTAAATGGCAAAGCAAGACAAGGCAAACCCAAGTCAGTGTTTCCCCTGGCTAATGAACTGAGCGAGGTGGTAACAAGATGATTGAAACGAAATTTATGCAGTCTGCAAACTTAAAAGAATGCAGCACTCACAGAAATACGCGATGATTCCAAAAACACATCGAAACTGTGAGTTCATGATACATGGAGGTAAAGGAAAACGCTCATATATTACACAAAATGATCTTTTTTTCAATTGATATTTCCTTTATTGTAAATCTTCACAGCGAGGTGGTGATATTGGCAAAAATTGAGCGAGGTGGTCACTGAAAGTAGCGAGGTGGGCCGCCTCACGTTTGAATGGGCAGGGGAAACACTGACCCAAGTAAAGCCGGCCCAATTATGTCTAAGGGGTCAAGTTTGTCATCTCAGTCAAATAAATCGACCAAGGTGGGACGTAGATAGGTACAAACAGGCATGCAGCTCTTCCTCGGATCCGTTTCACCACCCTCCCCTGCGTAGCTGGCGAGGTGAAGCCTCGTCATAAATAATTGGAACATATACTCCCTTCATTCAACTCACTGTGGTTCCTGTCTGATTTGAGTAAGGGCTAGTGTGTTTTTATTCAACATATTTGCATGATTTTAAAAAATGTACATTTATTCAAGATCTTTTTTGGCTGGTTTTTTTTTTTTTTGTCTCATAGATTCCATGCGGTCATACCTGACCCAGATCCGACAGGAGACTGGTAAACGTCTAGTTGAGAAGGCCTTTGACCCCGCCACCGACAAGCCCAGCAAGTGGTGGATGTGCTTCGCCAAGAGGAAGTTTATGGAGAAGAGTCTATCTGCCCCTGGCCAATAAAGGTCACGCAAAGGTTAAAGGTCAAAAGGAGGTAAAGAGAGGTCATGCAGGTTGAGTGCAACCATCAAAACAATAATAATTTTAATAATTAGAATATTACACACAATTTTAATGAGGTATTTTGCTTTGGGTTAAATTATATTTTGTACGCGCAGCACAAAGACACTGTGGATGACCAGAAGATGGCGCTTGGAGACCACTTTCAAGAGCCACAATAATTTTCGTTGAAAATAATGTTTAAAATATTAAGTAATATGTATTTTGGTCAAAAATCACATATTTTTGGTCTGAAAAAAGAGTAGAGATCTGTTGTATCTGAGAGAGCGATATCAGTATAGAAAGAAATGCATCTTTTAGACGTTTCAGCCACTTCTCAGACCAGATTCTTGCAACCAGGTAGCCTATAAGCACAGACTCCTTATTAACTTGATAAATGCTACATACTGAATATATGGGCAGCAGTTTGTGAGTTCAACTACAATTATGGTCGAACAACATTTAGAGGTACTTCATACCACCAGGTTTAAGTACACCTAAAATGTAGAACTGATAATCTAGACCACCTTCTCTTAACTGAAAACTTGGTTTTGAGACAAATGGAGATGTTGGGTTTAAAACATGGGCACGTGTAGGGAGTGTGGCCTAGTGGTTGGGGTTCGTGACTCATGATCAGAGGGTCAGGGGTTCGAATCTAGCTGCTGGTCATGTGTTGTATCCTTGGGCAAGCCACTTCACCCCCACTTGCGTCTCTCCACCCAGGAGTATAAATAGGTACCGGCATTAGCTGGGGAGTAGCCTGCGATCGACTAGCATCCCATGCAGGGGGAATAGAAATATTCTGTCGTTTCATGCTACTGAAACCGGAGATAAACGCCGGCCTGATGGGCCACGTTGGCTTGTGACAGACTTTACTTACTTACTACACATGTAGTTGTTTTGCCGCCCTTTTTTTTAGGATGAGATATGAATTCAGTTTCTTTAACCTTATTATTTAATGTCAGTTTCATGCTTCCCAAGTACAAAATGCAGTTGATGATGAGAATTGTACATATTTACTCACTGGACACTTGTATGAAGACAAACACTTTCAATTTCCATTAAATTTTTTTTTTCGTTGCACATGTTCCACAGGATAAATGTCATAAATATTATTTCTGGATATCATAGCAGCATGCAAGCCTAATAAAGCTGATTCCAGAACGGTCCCAGTCATAAGTGCTGGTCCAGCAATGAAATATAAAAACAAGATGTAATATAACATTTTACTGCATTTCGTTGTCATCATTAAGCATTGTTGGACTGAAGAAAAGTTTTGAAGAAAGGTTAGAACCAGCGCTATTAATATCGAGAACAATTGCACTTGTAATTGCTTGGAATTTGTATCTTTTTACAAATGTAAGAGTTATTGACAATTCGATTTACCTAACACTTATTTAAAACAAAATTGTAGTAGGGAAATACACACGGATTAAGATGAATAAAACTGGTTATTTACCCTAAACTGTTATTTGTTTTCTCTTGTAAAAGTCTTTTATTTGAATGGAGTAAATGCAAGCAGCACTTCGTTTTTCATTCTATAAATACCTGGACTGAAGAGGGAATATTGCAAAGGACTAATTTCAGGCTTGTCTTAATTTAAATGATTTTTGTACCAACATTTATAATTGGCTAACCTCATTATTTCCAATAAAGTTTGACCTTAAATGGCAAAAAGGATTATCCTTGACTTTTTTTCCGGCAAGGGTTGAAGGGGTCAACCTAGTTAAAGCCACGTACTAGGTCAAGTGAAGACATGACTGCATCAAATACCCTGTGAAATTATTCCGCTTAAACTGGTATCCTTTGGAAGAAAACTAACATGGAAGGTGGTTTCAAAATGGGTGGCCGAAAGCACTTTTTACGTGCGCTTTATACTTGAACAAAGGAATCCAGTTACGAGACCCCAAAATGTGCACATGCTTAATTTCTCTGTTTGCTCGAAAACGCAGAGTATCCACTGAGCTTCAACATGTTAGCTGTTAGGCATTCTACTTATTAAGTTTTGAGCAATGCTTGTTGCTTCAAACGAAACAAATATTGCACATAAAGCAAAATGATACAGGGTGAGTCAAAACAGCGGAACCCAAACCCCCAAATATATTTCATATTTTAAAAAATATGTAGCACCAAACATAATAATGACTGGAAAGCCAATTTAATAAGCTACCTTTAGATGAAAATAATTACTGAAATTGCTCAATCCGTTCAAAGAATATCACCATTTAAACGCAATGACCCTAAAACCTGTCTCGTCCAAAGAAAAAAAAGCATTTTATTGTGTATTCTGACTGTTTGGATTAACAACACAGAAAATGACACAGAATACTTGTTTCAATAACTGTCAACAACTGTAGTACACAATATCTTTATAAACAACCCGGGTTGGGCAGACAATATTATTTATAAAATCCACTTAAAAAAAAAAAAAAAGACGACCCTTCAAAAGGACTTTGTTGAATATTTTTAACTTTTAAACTGAGGTTTTATCGCTGGTGATGTTTGAAGACGATTGTGAAGACGATTCTTGAAATCGCATTTTTGGACGAGACAGGTTAGGGTCGTTATGTTTAAATGGTGATATTCTTTGAACACAATTGTTTATCCTAAAAAAACATTTTCGTCTCCTATTTAAAATTCAGTTTTTACCCAATGACCGCCACAAAATCATTCCATAGGCCTAAATGTTCATCTTTGTACGAGTACACCAAGGTCCAAAAGTCCACATGAGAATTTCGGAATTGAAGTGAGAGGTCAATTTTTGGCACGATATTTCTCTTTCGCGTCCAGTGTCATATGAAAATCTGACTCCTATGAAAATCGGACCCCTTTTTCCCTATTATTGGTTAATCCCTCACACGTCAGAGGTCACTCTCCCATAATGATCCTAAAAATAGCATATTATCGTACTTACGCACGCGCAATCAACCAATGAGTCCACATTTCATGGAGTCGTATATTCACGCTACACCGGCATTTTTTTTCAGTTTCCATTAATTCAGGAGGGAACTTTCAGGCTCAATAATGCCATCACACGTGGCCCCATAATTATGCTACAGCGAAATACATGTAATGTTATAATTAGCATTCGTAAATACCTAGGACAGTTTACCCTTTCCCATTGGTCAAGAGCCCGTCACGTGGCCGGTCTTAAACGGATGACAAAGACACCTTTCCAGTGTCACATGAAATTTGGACTCCAATGAAGTCCAGTGCCTTTACCGTTTTATTGGTTGAACGTTCACAATCCTGACGTAGGCATTCGCAATACTACCAGTGATAAAACCACCCATGCGTTGGGTTTAGGTATTTATGAATGTATGATTAAAAAAAAAAAAAAAGAGGCGGGAGAACAAAAAAAAAAAAAAGTGGGCGGGGATGAGGGACTATTTTTTTTTCTTGGTCACATCGGGTGGTGTTTTTTTCTTCACCCAATTGGGCTTGACGAAGATTTGGTCTAATCAACTAAAACAATTGTTTAATACATTTTCTCCTGATTAATGGTTAGTCCACATCAGCGCCTGATAACAAGAGCTGTCAGTAGATTAATTGGCGCCCATAAACTACACATCGTGTATGATACATAATCAGGACAATTATTAATTAAAACCGGTGGGAGTGTATTTCTTTTGTTATTTAATATTCTAATGTGACTATCACGTGACATGTCAACTCGAGCCTCTCCCCCGCAATCCGGCAGTGGTTTCTCCTAGTTTACCTGAGTGTTCCTCACAGTGGGTTCCTCTCCTGAGAGCCACTTTGTCATAGCTTAAATTCTCGTACGGGAATTGGACTCCGGGCTGGAAGCAGCGACGATCAGCAAGTAGCGGGCCGGCACGATGAATCTACCCGTGGCTCTCGGCGCATTTGTGGTCGCCATTCTCGGTAAGTTGACAGTTTTGTAAATAATACGCGTTCTTTTTCAAATACTTCCATATGAGTTTTCTATTTTATTTCTATTGTCGGAAATAATTACGACCCGCACTCAGCTTTGAGGACCATTTTCTGCACCCCGATTTTTTTTTTCGCGCGGTAATTGCAGTAAATAAAACCAAACCAATTTCTGTAAGTGTAGTTGTTTGAACGCAAAAATTCAACCTTAATTTGTCCAACTAATTTCAATGATCGTGGTAGGCCCATGCGCGGGTCTAGAACCTATATTTTAGGGGGGGGGGCTAGCTATAGCAGGGGTGGATCAAGAATTTTTTTGCAGGGAGGTGTGCTGAATTGTAGACCTTTTTCTTTCTCCGGGAAACTAAGGACTCCGAAAATCAAGGGGGGGGGGGGGCTCGTACCATATTTTCAATGTGGAGTGCTTACAACATCCTACAATCATGCACATTACCTAATAGTGTACAAATGCCCCCTTCTCACGATTATTTGTAGGGGGGCCGGGGGAAAACTATTCGCATGTGACGTCGCTTTCTAACATTTCCTACTTTTTTTTAGGGGGGGGGGGGGGAGGCGCGCTGAGACAAAATTTTGGGGGGCTTTAGGCCTCCCAGGCCCCCACGTAGAACCGCGCCTTGGTAGGCCAAGTTTTTTTTCTGGACTGGTGTGAGTCTGGTAAAACTATTGCTTCCGGATATTTTTTTTTATCATCAGTTTCTTGTATAAATACTTATGATCTTTATCTCTAATTAGATTTACACATCACCCCGACGCAAAATTCCATCTTGTGAATAGTTAATGCGGTACCCGCTGCTATGTACATCAGATTCAAACCAGCCAATCGAAGCCGTTAGCTCGGTGGTCGAGTGTTAAGACATCTGCACTAAAAAGCAGGAGGTCGTGGGTTCGAGTCCCACCCGAGTGATTTTTTTCCAACTTTCACTCGGGAGGTAACACACTGAGTATACAGTGTTTATACGTCGGTGATGGGCAAAACCTAATTATATTTACATCACCCCGACGCAAATTCCATCTTACGAATCTTTAACTCATCATATTTTTCTCAATAGGGCAAAATCCATTACAATTCGCATCACTCCGAAGCAACCATTATATACACCACGTTAGGACTTGTGACCAGTTTTCCTTTTGAAGCAAATCTTTTGTCACAGCGTTTGCGTTTTAAACATCTTGGACACGAAAGCTTGGTCTTCTTTCGTATTCCATTGGCCAGACCTGTTTGCAATTTTTGTTTATGCATCCACGTTATGCGCATGCGTCAGTTGGTATCGGAATGGTTATCAGACTTAACTTCCCTTTTAAACAAAATCCTTCAGAGCCGTGAGAGAGAAGAAAAGGCTGAATTTCATTCTATCGATCATCAGGATTTGATTAAACACAAATTACAGAATGAAATCCACTTTTGGGGGAAACAGTGAAAATATAAAATTCCCTCCAGGAATAGAACCTGGAACCTCCAGCATTCAGATCAGCGATTTAACGCACACTCCACAGCGAGACCATGCTGAACGTCGTGGAATAAGCTATTTATAAGAAGTTATACCGAATCTGTCCAGATCACATTAAAAAAAGATTAGTTAACATACCAATCATTGGTTGACATAACCAACAATTGTGAAATATAATGTCCAACCAATCGGTTGGTTGGACACATATTAAACAATTGTTGGTTATTTCAACCAATGGTTGGTTATGTTAACCAATCTGTTTTTAGAGTGTAGTTGTTCACGTTATTATGTTTCATCCCATGCGCATGGTGGTAATCGATACGTGGTTGCATAACAAATAATTGCGACCCGTTTCGACCGGCATTTAAGAATCCTATATCAACTATCAAATTGCCATCAACTTTGACGCTCGTGATAAGAGAGACTTCTGATTAGTATAGTTTCCACGAATAAAGACTCTTCCGCACCCAAATTTGGACGAAAGAGCTCCAAACGCTTGTTCAAATTTTTGAAAGAAAATGTCAGTGTTTACTATAAAAACATGTTGATCGTACCCCAACGCATGCGATTAAATCACATGGGCAATTCCACGGTTACTCACGTTACATTTTCGTAACGTGAGTAACCGATTTTGTTCGTCTTGTTTATCATACACAACACATTTTTCTGGATGTTATCTTTGGTGCTTAGGTAGGTCTAGGTCTACTCTATCTACCGTGGGGATAACAGTTATTAAACCTTTTCAGTAAGGTAATTACAGCCCAAGGAAACTCAAAAGTACATCAAAAATGTAACATGAGTAACCGTGGAATTGCCCACATGACTTGTGTCCAACCAACCGATTGGTTGGAACCTGAAGTTGATTCACCCTGAACGCGTCCAATTGTAGCCTTAAGGATTCTTGGATTCCATCCACTCGTAAATACAGAAGCGTATTTAGGACATGGCCAAAATAAAAATTATGTTCATGCTTTGTTATCTCGGGTCTCGGACTAAAACAAAAAATCCTCCAAAGCCATGAATGAGAAAAAAAGGCTGAATTCCATTTTAACGATCATAAGGACTTGATTAAACTCAGTTTACGTAAGAAAGTTCACTCTTTGGGGAGAAA